ATTGTTAAAAACATCAAAGAAAACTATTTTAATGTTTTATATATTTGGAAACTGCTAAAAATTGATGAACTAGGAAGTTACAGTATTTCAACAGATTTAAAATTGGCAAATATTTTGATGGGCCTGATGTCTCACAGCTCCGCCTTTCCCTGTACATGGTGTCAATCCAATGCACAAAACCTAAGCAATGAGGGAGATTTGCGCACGTTCGAGAACATCCGAAACCAATATTTGAGATGGACGGCAAGTGGAAGCAGCCTGAAGAAAGCAAAGCATTTTTTGAATTGCATTCATGAACCTATACCTCAAAAATTAGAAGAACCTGTGATCTTGGTGATACCCCCACCTGAATTGCACTTACTCTTGGGTAATTACTATTTGTCCCGCTTATTTATTTACTTTTTTATACTTCAATAGGTTACTAGGTGCAGTTTAAAATGTTTTTCTATCCCTCACAATTTTTGTTTTTTAGGCACCGTAAATACCTTATATTCCAGTCTTTTTAAACTTGTTCCAGACATTTGCAATCAATGGATAAATTTTTGTCACGTTGAAAGAGAAGGAATGCAGGAAATTCCTGTAAAAAATTATTGAATAATTTGGAATATCTAGAGAATAATTTACCTTTGAATTTGGTTAAATATGTTACTTGCTTTGAAGATTTTAAAGAAGTTACAAAAAGCGCATTTAAAGTGATTTTGTGTCCTGATTATAAAGAGAAACTGGATAATTTTAAATTATCATTCAATAAATTGGGTATTAAGCCAACTCCCAAAATATATACCGTATTTTTTCACGTTAGGGAATTTTGTCAAAGAACAAACAAAGGTTTGGGATTTTATAGTGAACAGGCCAGCGAATCAGTTCATTCTGATTTCACTATAGTATGGAATAGGTTCAAAGTGCATGAAAATAACCATAATTTTTCAAAGAAATTATTAGAAGCTGTTACTTTCTATAACAGTAGTCATATTTAAAATAAAATTAGGATTTTCTTAGGTTTTATTGTTAAATTCAATATTTTGTTGATAAAATAAAAAATAATCGTTGAAAAATTTTGATTTAATTTTCTATTATCATAAAAATGATTAAAAAATTGTTTAGAACAAAAAATAAGTTTGGACAATTTTTTCGGCAATTTTCATTTTTTGGCGAACCGTGTAAGACTTTATACATATTTTAGTTAGATATTTTTAAAAAGTATCCAATTTTGGAAGAATCGCAATATTTTGGCTATTTTTAAAAATATCCAACTAAAAAACTAATAAAGTAAAATTGTCCCTTCAGAGACAGTGTTTCTCTAAAATCACCTTTTGGGACCCAATAATGTTTGTAACTGTTCGAATTAATCGAATTGTTCGAATAGTTAGAATTATTCGAATAGTTTGAATTATTCGTATTTTAGAAAATAACAGTCGGTCTAAGTAAGTTAAACTATTCCAATAATTAATATTTGTAAAACATGTTTGGTCAAATATATGATTAAAATAATTACAATTCTTGAAAAATTAATTTTTTATTATTAAAAACATTCGAAGAATTGGAACCATTCGAATAAATCGAGCTATTTTTTATAATTTTAGTGGTGATTTTTCTTGTATCGTAAACGTTTAAATCAACAAAAAATATCTTTGTTCCGGATAGTACCAAAAGAATGGTTTAAAACTTACATAAATGATATTCGACATAATTAACACCGGCGCATTCGCCATTTTTGATAATATTTCTGAAATTAAGATCTGTGATTATTACGAAGTTGCACTTTTCCGCAGTTTTTTTATCAATATCAGGCCTTAAACCATCTTCAATAAATTTTCAAAATGCAAGCAATTGCAGTTTTATTATTAATATCACAAATAACAATTAGATTATGTATTATAGTTATCATATAATATTAAAAATATGTATGTATTTTGATGTTAAATAAAATGTTTCCTATATTATTTTATGCGCTGTAGAAAAATATTATACTACTGTGATTATCTTATTTTTGTTTTTTTCAACCGACAGGGACAAGGTTTGTTTTAAGCATAAAAAAATATTTTGTAGGTAAAGTATACAGTTATCATTATTACTGTAAAAACAAGAGTTCTATAAATAGTTACCTTAAAGTCAAATCATTAGATGACGCTGTATTCAATTATAAGTATCTCAGTCGGTAATAATATAGAACTAACTACTTTATTTTAGGGTCCAATTTAGGACAAAAAAGTTCGCACGTTACTTTCGTGGTAAGATTTTAGTTTTTTTGTTAAGAGCAGGGCTGTGTTTAAATTACAATGAAAAATATTTCTAAAACGTGTACAGATCAGTGTGTGGTATAAATGTGTTTCTCATGGTTTAAACATTGTCACTTTAATGCGTTTTAATTTTAATTCTGAAAACAAACAGTTAAATGGCCAGTGTCCAATTACTGGTTGGTAAAAAATGTAAATTTCTTTTACATATGCCATACTCTATTTGTATCCCGGACATTTACCAGCCAATTATGTAAAATTGTCCCCTGAATACGAAAATACCGTCATAAACCATAAAAGTTAAGCAGTTTTTGAGGTATTGTCTTTTTTTCTTAAATTCCAAAATTAAGTATTGCATTTATTTATTAGTTAAACAAATGACAAGCGCAATTATTCTGTTATAATCTAATGTGTTTACAAATCCAATACAGTTTGATTAGTATGCTGTTTTTAGTTTTAGTGATTTATTGAGTGTTAGTTTATATTCTGTGTGTCAAATGTTTATTATTGGTCTCGTTTGGGTTCCATGCCTTACGCATTTGTTGTTGACAGATTTATTGTCCTACACAGCTTTGGTGTATCACCGCGATAGTTCGATTTAGAAGTTTTGTTTTTTTTGTTGTTTGTCTTTTTTCTTTATTATTTTATGGTGTTTGGTTAGTATTGTCTTTCTAATGTTTCTATTGTTACTGATGTTTATTGTTTTTTTTCTAGAGTTTAAGAAGTGTGCCTTTTTTAGGGTATTAAAGATATCTGTCGTGTTTAATTTGCAAATTATGTGTTAGGTCATGCATATGCTTAATGATACTTATCAATTTTTTGCGGATGGCCTCTTTTGTTTGTCTAGTGAAAAGCGTCCAATGACAGGTGGTATACCTATAGGACCATAAGCTGAAACTTGTCACTTAACTCTTTCTTATCACCATGTGTCGAATTACTATACAAAATGTCCAATTACTATACTTTTTTGCATGTTTTTATAAAACTAATATTAAAACTTTAAAAATTCTTATTTTAAGTAAATGTAAATAAAGTTTAAACAAACAAACTATCCTTTTTATATATTTATAAGAAAAAAACTAAAATCTTTAAAACAACGGCATATATAATTTTTAAATAAATAATATTCCTTAAGCTTGTCCTCGTGGTTTACCTATTATCATAAAATGTTACTTAACTCCTTTAAATTTCAATAATCAAAATTGAGTGGGAAAGATGCACGATTCTAAACGATTGCGCGAGCGAAGCAAGCGTAGTAAGGATGCGAGTTTAGAATCTACCATTCTTCACGAATTGCACATATTATTATTTTACAAGTAACAATAACGACGAAGCTCATTATAAAGTCGCCGTTCTATACTACCTAACATCTGTCAAAAGAAATTAACCGCACTTTTTTTCAATTACATTATTTTTCCTTTATTTCTGTACTCTCTAAAAATGAATTAGTCAAAAATGACTAATTTAATAGTTATTAATGACTGCATGGTATCCCAAAATTTAATAAAAGTTAAAAAAGTAGAACAGTTTTTGAGATATAGTTAATTTCCCATTTAATATGGAATTGACTATATCTCAAAAACTGCTCCACTTTCATAATTTTTAATCGTATTTTCGGATTGAGGGGACAATTTTACATAAGAATTGGCAGTTAAATTTTGGGATACCATGGTATTCCATGGTTAACCATGGTACAAGTGAAAAAGCATCCACTAATAACTATTAAATTAGTCATTTTTGACTAATTCATTTGTTTCATTAAAAATTATTTAATAGAAATAATATGTTTAAAATCATCATTTTTGTGTATTAATATATTTTTAACCTTTAAAACGCTAATTATGGTACATGTTTCCATGACACTAAGTGATCTTTTAAATACCCATTGACAAGTTTTGCCTTTGTGGCGTTTTAGTCACGGGCTAAAGTTAGCAACAAGTGCCCTTCTTGTGAAATAACAATGTGGACATTATTTTATTATCTTAATAGAAAAATTAAAAGTATAAAATAGTTTCTCAACGTCAATACCTATTTGAAAAGTTTATATGCAAGTTTGAAGTGACATCCTGTACGGACGCCACTGGTAAAAAAAATAAAAAATCTTCTACATCAAAAACTTACTGTTAATGCTTAGAAGGCGTTTGCCAAATTTTATAAAAATATCTAGGAAGTTATTAAAGTTATGATAAAAAAACCGATTTTTTTTTCAAACTTTAACACTCTGTAACTCAAAAATTAAGAGGTTTAGGTCTTAATTTTATTTGAACTTTTTTTCTTAAAATCAACTAAGCATTCACACCCTTAAGGTTAAGCATCTTATTCTTAAACACCCTGTATACATTAAACCCTAACTTTTTATTGAGACCAATTTTAACAAATATTGGTTTTATTCATATTTTTTTTTATTAATTTATACTTAACAAGCTTGAGAAAATACATTTAAAATCTGCTATCATTTAAAAAAACAACCTTTAACACCGACGCATCCACCATTTTTTACAATAATAGAGTAATAAAACTGGATTTATCTGAATATTTTAGTATTTGTAAAAAACGCATGCTTCCAAGGAAATATATTAGCATAATAAAATAAATCATCTTGTAGAATATATTTTCCTGTACCTACGTAAAGAAATACGGAAACTCCTGCATTATTTATGGGTAAATCATCTTGAGAATTCTATACATCTGCAAATTTTTTAATATTGTATATCAAAAAGGTTCTTTGTTAACTAAACTTCTGTAATTTAAATTTATTTCCAGGCCTATCCGGACGAGGGACACAATTTCAGGACAAAGGCTCTATTACACATGTATAAAGAAATTGACCAGTTTTTCAACGATTCATTTGGTCCAGTGATCGAGGAATGGACGGTAGACGATTCCAGTAGCTTTTTTATATAAATTTTCAACATCTTTTCAAATAAAGAAAATTCATGTGATTTTTTCATACTTTAAATAACCGATTTACTAAAAGAATTTATTAAATTGTTAAAATCAAAACGTCCATTTTTCCTAGTTGGAATTTGGTCTAAAATGTAAGTAGTTTTATCAACTCATACACTGTGGAAAAATGTTTAAACCTTCGTGTTCTTTCTTTGTATCTTTTAAAATTTTTCAAGGATTTTTTCCCTTAAATTTCGTTAATTTTATTTGTTAATGAAAAGTTGATAAAACGTATTTTTTTACTGCAATATTTATATTTATATTTCATACAATTATTCTACCAAGATTTGCGTTTCTTAAAATTGTTACTTTTTTTCTATCGATGTGATTAACCAATCATTGCATTCTCTGTCGCAATCTAGTCTGCATTTTCTATAGAGTTTGGTTTCTATCAGAAGTGTTTAACCAATCAGAGAACGGCATTCTCCACCGCACACTAGATTGCAATTGTGAATAAAGTGTTTACAAAAATATTTAAACCTAGTTAATTTTTGTTTCACAGTGTTATATACAATAAAACATAAATTAAAATTTTGTAAAGACACCGATATTATTTATAATAAGCTATTGTATTTATTTAGATAGAATTTTTAAATAATTCCATTATTTTATATTAAAATGTATGTACAAAGATGAGTGTCAAAGATTAAAGTTTAGTTTATTAATTATAAATGATTTTTTATAAGAATAGATAGACTATATAAAAAAGCATAGAATGTAAAAAGTATATAGAAGATGTAACTAAAGCATTAAAACAACAAAGTTTGATTTAAAAACTATTAATACCAAAAGTGATATAAGTAGTAATTATTTTTGTAAAAAATAGAAAGTGTATAATAAAAATAAATAGATAAATAGTTTTTAAATTTAACTGTGACAATTTTTGGACCACAATATCTATATCAGTAAAAGTCTAATTTAAATGTTTAAATGTTAATTCGTTGTTAAAAAACTTCATGTTTTGTGTAATACAAATAAGAGCTAATCTATTCTAGATATTTAAATCAAAATCTAGATGCTTATTATGCCTGTATATGTTCTGATAAAAAGAGTAGCAAATAACTAATGATGGCATTTGACATGTACAAGATCTCTTAGAAAAATATTATTTATACAGATACTAGGTAAATTGAAGGGAATTAGCTACAAATTTTTTTTATTAGGTTAGGGTAAATACTTACTTCAAGCTGTAATTATAAATATGCCAACTTCAAAATATAATATACGGGGGCTAGCAATAAAGCGTTAAAGTTTTTCATTGAAACATTTTACAAAAGTGTTAATTTGTAAATAAAAAGATTATTCTATTTCAATAAGTTACCTACGCTTATTCTGTACAAAATTTTAAAATATTAAAGTAAATTTTTGCCTTTTAATAATAAACTGGCTAATAAATAAATTGTTATAAAACTCTTTTTATCAGAATGACTTTACTCTACTCTATAGATTATAGTTTTTAGCAAGAGTTAGAAAATCTAAATTACTTATTGGAGATCTACTTATACTACTATATACTTCTAGTAGTAGTCTACTACTAAGGCTTTATTAATTTTTACTATTCATTTTCAAATGTAAGCTTTAAAAACTATTGGCTTAATGCTCAAGTAGAAACAACTTAATGTTTTTTTAATTATTTGTAAGGTACAATTTTAACTATCTTAGAACTTCAAACAGAGAACTTTGAAATGATTGTAAACTGTACCATTTAATTATTACATACCAAACATTCCATTTTTATATATGTATATATGTGCCTATTATAAGCTTTATCCTAAATACCTACTTCAATATTGTATTTAAAAAAATTAACTTTCAGTTGCAAGACTTCTATGTCTTATAAATATAAGACCCATTATATCTATTAATTGTTAATAATGTTATATTTGTATAAGATGTACTGATTTTAATGTGACACCAAGCCAAATAAATAAATGTTACAATTTATTGATATTATTTTTTCTTTCAATTTACCCACTGTGCACATTGCAACTATCATATTCATTATTAATTACAATTATTTACCCTGCAAATAGTTATGGTAAAATACAGAGTATTAATAACAATATTAATACCCTTTATATATTTAGAATTATGTGCCACCAGCAAAGCAACTAATGAATAAATAAAGTAAAAACAATGTGTGACAAATTGTTTTCCTAATTCACTCCACTGTGCGAAAACGAGTGTATGCAACCCGAATACGATAAATACATCTGGGTTGCGGTTGATTATGGACTTAAAATTTCTGAACGTGTTCAGTAAAAAGTAGACAATTCACAATGGCGTCTTGACATTGACGTTTGTGTTTACATAATTGTGTATATTTGTAAATTTTAGTGTTAATAATCGGTGTAAAAAGTCGAAATAATTATATTGGATAACTAGTGCATTGTTTTAATGGTTGCAACAGTTATTAGGATATAACAATTGTTCGAAAGCCATATAAAGTATTGTGAAAATGATTAACAGCCGAAAAGAGATAATTAGTTCAATATTTATTTGTTAATTAATAATTTAGGCAGCCAGTTTTATGCAGTGTTCGGATAAAAATTGATTCCCTAACAAGTAATGTAAGTAAAATGTAAATTTAGGAAAGTATTCAATGGCAAATGACATTTTAATAGAAAGTTGATTTTAAAGATCCGTTTTTCGACCTAAATACCAATGAGATAATAAACTATTATCAAAAGGAATGTTATCCTCTATTATGTAAAAATTGTAAGCAAATTAATTTGCTTTAGCACTTTGCCATATTGCTAATCTGAATTTATACATCAAACTAAAACCTTCAGTTTTTGTATTATTCATTATTAGGTAAACTTATAAATTATGCAATAAATGATTATGTGCATATTGAATTTTAAATTTACTTTTGTTCATTTTTCATTGAGAACTTTTTTGTTATTTTTTATTAACCTGATTTTTAATCTTAAATTTATGAATGATTTATCTAAATTTAAACTATGATTCAATATGGAGCACATTTCAATTTATGTGATGATGTTTACACTATTAAATTACAGTAATTCCTACAACATATTTTTGGCCAGTAATGTTGTAGGAAGATCACAATAATTGAAATCCTTATTTAAGTGGGTAGTTTCTTCTTTATTCAATTGCCTTTTAGTTAATTAACATTAAATTTGTGGCAAACAATATTTAATTTAAATTCAGATAAGTATTATGCTATAATAGCTAAACCTACTAAGTACAGTATATTACCATTGGATTTTTCTAAATATTATAATTAATTAATATAATATTAATATTCATTACATACATATACCAACATTTAAATGTATTATAAGTATTATTATCTGAAATATTACACTGTTCAAAATATACTAGGTAGGTAGGTATTTAAATTAACTTTTTCATATCATTTTTTTCTTTAAAAATAGTAATAAAATATAAACCAAACTTGTTAAAATACAAATCAAATTAATTTATAGGTAGGTACCCAATTAAAGTATTTTTTACCGAAATTTATATTATAAACCACTCTTGTTTAGAACAAATAACTTCAATTCGTAATTTTTAATGTGTTAAAATGCACATACAATTAATATTACCTATATTATAAATAAAATGATCGTTTTAATAAATAATAGTATATTAATATATTAGTATCAAGTTGTATAAACGCCATTTTAGTTACGAGTTTTATTAAGCACGAGCGAAGCTTGCAAACGAGTGTTTAGAAAAGTTTATAAAACAAGTTGCATACTATACTTTATATGGGGCAAAACACCTCAAGTGTTCCCACCTAAAAATGATGTTTTCTCCGATTTTAACAAAACTTTGCCAAATCATTGTCCTATTGGACTACCTTAATTTTCCAAATGGGGGGCAAAAAGGATTAGCGGGTTGCAGAGATACAGGGGCCTGAAAATTTTTTTTTTTTCTCGTGCGCTTAAAACACGTCAAAATATTCATGTATAACTAGGTATAATGTTTTTTTTTAAATTGATAATCAACATATCGTATAGCATTTTTTCCACGCTTTACGGATAAAAATGATCTCGAAAGCGAGAAAAAATTTTTTGGTTATAAAAAACGATTTTAAAAATATATTTGTTTTTTTCTCGAAATGCGACATATTGGATTTTTAAAAAATTAATATCAAAAGAAAGCTTTTTCAATTTCCTAAATTTTAATGTAATATGAAGATGAGATCCCAAAAATAAGTCGAAAAAATAGGTTGAAGCGCGTAGGGACCGTGCGGCGAGCAGCTACTATAGTATAGTATAGTATACCTATTGCAGCGGTGCTCGGTCTACTACTTAGTGAATTAATTGGAGGGTCAATACAACTTTTAAAATTATTTTTATATAGAAATAAATGTATTTTTCGATGAGTCTAAGTCAAAACAGCACAAGCGCCAAATTATTTTTTTTTAGAAGAAGGTCGATAGAGATTTAGTTCTCTATCGACCTGCAGGTACATGTACTTCTAACAAATTTAAAATTTTTGGCGCCTGTGTCGTTTTGCCTTAAACTCATTGATTTTATTGCAATAGTTCAAATTAATAGCAATTAAAACCCATGTTTTGGTTTTTGTAGTCGAAAAAGAAAAATGTAGAAAGTAATAAGTTGCTCTTACTCTGAATAAATTACACGTGCACGTAAATGTAAATAAGTTCTACCATTTAAGGCAACTGCAAGTGTCTCACAATAATAATATACATTTTTCATGTAAACTTTTTATTGAACATTTTACCTATTTGGCGTTCTATCCTTGTTCTTTTCACGCGGGTATTGAACAGCCGTCCTTTCCAGTGCGGTCGGATTTGCAAGCACTGTAGCTATGTCGCTTAATACAAATATTTAATTAAATTTTTTTTTTAGATAATATTAAGTATTATTCGTTGAAAAAGTATTTTATGCAATTAAATTCGTGACTAAAATGGCATTTATCAAAAGTAGGATTGCCAGATTTTTGAAAATCGAAAGCGGGACAAAATAATTTCGAGAGCAAAGCCAAACTATACCTACATTTTCGTTTTCCATTTTTTGTAGCTAATCATAAATTAAGATTTAACAATAAGGCGTAGGTATTTTACTTCTTTTTTAAACTTTGAACTGTCTTTAAGATACAAATTAATTGTATGCTACAAATTAACTTTATATACATTATAACAAGATCAACATAGATATTTAATAACTAAAGTATAAATAAATATAAGTATATGTCATCCATTGAGGTTGGGTTTACTCCAAAGTAAGCAACTTAAATCACCAATGTACAAAGTAAAATTTCTTCAAAATTTTAATAAATTTTACTTTGTACAAGCTTACAAAAAATTGTGTTAAATTTAGTTTATATTTTTGTATTAATAATTTCTTATTAATTAATTATTTTAAATTTTATTACAGGGAGAGTAACATATTTGAAATATGATATTTATACGAGCTTGCGTGAAAGTAAAAATCTAAATCTATTTTATATTTATGTTACAAGACCTTCTTTCACATTGTTATAATATAATATATAATTTTTTTTATATAAAAATTTAGGTTAGTACAAAATTGTCTACTCAAATTTATTCTTGTACTCGGTTCCTGGTCGGTACTGTAATTATAATAGCAGGAACAAAAAATTTATTCACCATCATAAAATTTGCTAATTGATGCTAAGGATTGGTCGATTGGTATACCAATCTGGTATATAATCTATTGACAATTTAAAAAATAGCTATTATTTTACTTAAAATTACTTATATACGAGGTGTGTTCAGAAAATAACGGGAACTGTTAAATTTCGGGGGTTCGCAGGATCCGGTTGTAATAAAATTTTCTTTATTATGTAGGTTTACATGCCCCCGAAGTATGATAAAAACTTTAGCTGTTTTCATTGTTTACTTTGTCTGTGGCAGCCGCTAAGGTTAGACGTGTTTTATGAGCTCAACGATTTTTCGTTCGTTAAAAGAAATGGATCAAAGAATTTGTATCCAATTTTGCTTAAAAAATGAAATAAATTCTGTGAAATGTTAACAAAGGCCTATAGTGAGTCTGCTATAAGTAAAACAAGAGTTTACCAGTGGTATAAGAGTTTCCTAGATGGCCGTGAAGACGTTGAAGATGACGAACGCCCCGAATGCACAAGCACATTAACAACCGATAAAAACATGGAAAAAGTGGAAGAAATGGTTATAAACCATCAGAGAAGTCGCTGATGATGTTGGTATATCGATTGGCTCATCCCATGAAATTTTTTCGAATGTTTTGGGTATGAAACGCGTGGCAGCAAAATTTGTTTTAAAATTGTTAAATTTTGTACAAAATTTTTGACCAAAAACAATACTGTAATGATGGCCCAGCCTCCATATTCGCCAGACATGCCTCTGTCTGACTTTTTCCTATTCCCAAAAATAAAGAGAACCTTAAAGGGCCGTCGTTTTGCAAGCATAGATGACATTAAAAGCGCATCGCTGAAAGAACTAAAGGCTATCTCAAAGATCGAGTTTTAAAAGTGTTTCGAGTATTGGAAGAAGAGCTGGCACATGTGCATAATATCCAATGGGGACTATTTTGAAGGCGACAACATTAATGTAGACGAATAAATAAATATTTTTTTCAAAAAACTAAAATTCCCGATATTTTCTGAACACACCTCGTATACTTTACTTTATAAATAGGCAATATCAAAAAAACATTTGGTGGATTATAATATCATGATAACAAGAGCATTTACAAATTTTATTTATATTCTATAAATAGTTATTGATTGGATAAATTGTCATCTAGATATTGCGTTTTCTTGCTTGCAGTTTAAATATTTTCAAGTTTTGTATGAAACGTGTCAAAGTATCAACACTTGAAACCAAAATTAATTTGCATAAAATGAATAACTAATTACATTAAAGTATCAATATAAAAAATAGATAATATTTTCACATCGAGATTAGATATATGCATCGGTTTTAATAAACTTTCTAGAAATGTATCTATAAAAAAATTGATAAAACCGAATGCACCGAATAAATTGTCAGTCAAAAACGGGCGTGTCTTTTCAGATGATGTTGTCCATATTGGTATCGCCATGGGAACACCAGGCGATAAAGCAGCGAAAATCGGCGAGGTAGTCAAGCAGGAGCCAGTGGAGCCGACCGAGCAGCCACAAGCGGCAGAGGCGGACCTTCCGGTAGCCGCCGCCGCAGCGAGCGTCCCGCCATTTCCGCCCGCCATGGGAGTGCAGAGCGTGTTGCCGCACTTCGAGACCTTCGGGCCCGGACTGGGCTTGAAGCAGGATCCGGGGACGGCATTGGTTGGCATCGAGCAGGGCCAACTGGAATTCTATTTTCCGCACTCGAAGTACTATCCGAGCGCATCCGAGACACTATCCGTCTATCCGGCTGCTTCGAAACCTGCTCCAACACCACGACATGGTAATTATTTATTTTATTTATTTATTTATTTATTGCTGACCCCAAAACAGTTTAAAAAACTTTATAAAACATTACATAACATATTAATAACAATATTATATTAATAACAGAAATAAAATATGAAATATACACCTACAAAAAATATATGTTAGACTCTTTAAATAAAATTAAGATAAACTCTCAAAAAGTAATAAAATTTTAATATAAAACATAGACTGGGCCAAAAAAATCAACTATTTTTTTTTTTGAAAAGTATATCGAAAATATGGTTTGGGGTGACAAAAAAAATTATTGTGAAAGTTTGAGTCCATAATATTATTATTAAGAGGTCTATCATCGCAATTTTAATTTTTTTTCCTCAGCAAGTTTTTGTCTCAGAACTCCCAAACCATTAAGTTTAACAAAATTGACTCGAAAATATTTTTTGAAGAAAATTGAATGCTCTACAAAAAAGGTTAAAGTGAAATTTTCCGTCAGATGAACCGTTTCCTTAAAATCATGCCTTAAAAATTGGTATAGTTTTACATTTTGATCTTTTAAATTGGAATTTTGTAATTAATGTAAAAATCAGTACCCACAAAAAAAAACGATGGAAGTTTTTCAGTCTTTTAAAAATAATTTATTACTTATATTATTTATTTAGGTTTACATATTACTAATAGTAATTTACTATATTTTAGCTAGGTAATCAGTTTTTTAACTAATTTACTAAAAAAACCTTTTTAACCAAACATGAAAATTGGTAAAATTAAATTTAAAAAAAAATATTAATACACAATTTTAGTTATCAATATCAAAAAATTAAATTAATTAATTTAATTGCTGTCGAATTAAAATTTTATTTTATTTATTTTTTATAAATTGCACCTATTTTAGTTTTTTTATGAAAATAAAAATAATTAAAGTTTTTTAAGTTTAAAAACGCGCTGGATCCAGCTAAATTTTAATTTTTAAGTTTTTAAACCCTGCTGGATTGCAATCCCTATACCTACTATATTTTATTTTAATATTATACAGGGTATTTTTTATACCTCTTACAAAATGACGATTTTAAATGACAGTGTGAATAAAAACACGCACTGGTTTATTAACGAACTAAACGATTTATTTTATAACTTAATTACACTTAAAACACTATAAAACTAACTAAAAACTTAACTACTAATTATTTATATATCTTTTTCTACTCCCACCTTTAAAACGCCCTTTATCGTACATGTTTTCATGACACTAAGTGACCTTTTAAATATACATTGACAAGTTGAGGCTTTATGGCGCTTTAGTCACGTGCTGAAGTTGGTTGACAGTTGTCATATCTCATACAATCGATAAAATAAAGTGCCTTTCTTGTAAAATAATACTAAGCGTGAAAATTATTTTATTATCTCAATACAAAAATACAAAAGTATTAAATAGTTTCTCAACGCCAATATTTGAAAATTTTATTTGAACATTATACTGACCTTTTAATTTCGCCGGCAGTAAAATATAACTTAAATTTGGACACGGACTCCACTGTAAAGTGCTGATAAAACATTTTCTTTACTTTCACTGTGAAAAACTTTCAATTTTCAAAAAATACATTTCGATTTATAACCTTTATAATCTGTGTCTATACAAATTTTTGATTTAAATCATTTTAAGATAATAATAAGTATTTGTCGTAGAAAAAGTATAGTATGCACCTCGTTTATAAAGTTTTCTATACCCTCATTAATTTAAGCACTCGCTCGCAAGCTCGCTCGTGCCTAAATTAAATTCGTGTATAAAATGGCGTTTATCGAACTCGATAAATAATATGCTATTACTGTACAAAATTCTTATTTATTTGCACGTATATTTATTTTATTTCGTCGCGGGTACCAAAACCTAACTGACTCTACGACGGTTCGATGTGCCTTATATATACAATGCGCCTTCCCGAACATTCCAGCGAGCTCCGGTGTGCTTTCGATCGATCGAGCGCTGACTCACCGGCGAGTCATCATTCCGATATCCAGAGGAATACTTGCTACACTATCTATATTTTTTAACTTTGGATATATTGATGTGTAATTTTTACTATTAATAGTACAGGACAGCCTGGAAAAATTATTATTTTTATTATTCTCTTTTGCAGTCGCAATAGTAAATCCGGAAGAAGCGGGTCCGTCGGGCATCCAAACGCCCAAATCGACATCGAGATCGACGAGCGCGAGCCCAGGCAAGCTGAAAAAGAACAAGAAACAGCCGGCCGCGTCGCCGTCGACGCCGACGCCGAAAAAATCGCACGCGTGCGGCGTATGCCAGAAAAACTACGCTTCGTCGGCCAAACTGGCCAAGCACCAGCAAACGCACGCGTGCTCCTCGCCCTTCAAGTGCGACACGTGCAAGAAAGTGTTCGTGTCCAAGTTCAAGCTGGTGCGCCACAAGCTGATACACTCCGACAGCAAGCCGTTCGTGTGCCAGGTGTGTAGAGATGCGACTTGAAAAAAAAACGGTCCGTTTTTTTTGTTCTTTTTCAGGTTTTTTTTCATTGTTTTTTTTTCAAATGGTTTTTTTTCACATTTTAGGTTTTTTTTAGAGATGGGAAAATTCCCATTTGACGAAAATTCCCGAAATTTTCCGAAAGTTTCAAAAAAAAAATTTTTTTTGCGAAAATATTTTTTTTATGCCAGGGATTTGCAAAAATATATAACACATTAACTTTTTGTCAAATTTTATTAAGAAAAAAATAAAATGTTTACTATTAGAAATTCACTGCTAGTAATCCTAGATATTACGTAAAAAAAATTAAAAGTAACTAATATATAGAAATATTGAAAAGTAAAAAGTAAAGTAAAAAATAATTCCAAACAATAGATTTTTCTCTTGGCATTGTGCTATGCCTATAAATAAACAACAAAAATGTAAGAATGATTTTAACTTTGTTTATTGTTTTTATTTTGTTTACCTTTTTTTTAAAGTTTTTTGTGTTGATGCTGAATAATCCGGCTTCATTGAGGTTATGTAACATAACTTACACACAAAACTAGTTTTGTGAACTTACATTATTTATACTTCTTCTTCTGCTTTACACACATTAAATTCTTATTCAAAGTTTCTTGGCCTTGTATCAGGGCCTTAACGAAAATCAGCGGTTAAACAATTGACATTTAAATGAAAAAAACAAGGAAAGTTTCCAAGGAATGTTTCCGGTAGCTTAAAAGAAACTTTCAAAATGAAAATAAATTCCCAACTGGAAACTTTCCAAAACGGAAAGTTTCCTTAAAATGGAAACTTTCCGATTCCCATCTCTATTTTTTTTCAAGATTAGTCCCGTTTGCCTAATTTTTTATGTTTCCAGTCCAGTTCATGGACTAAAATTTGCCTCTAAATGACAATTAGTAAATGTAAATGCTAGGCACGCGCCACCACCACCGAATTGACCAATAATTTGGTCCTAAAAAAAGTAACTACATATAATATTTTTGATTCAGCGTTTGATTTTTCAAAAAGCACTTTTTTCATGATTTTTCTAATTCATGTAGAGTATGGATTTTTTTTCAAAAAAAAACAATAGCAAATTCTTGTAAAACATTCTGTGGACCAGAAAGCCAAAAAAAAATCGATTTTTTTATTACGGTATTCGTTAGGATTGAGCATTGCACATTTTTCATCCCAAAACTAGAAACGTCAAGCTTCAAATTGCTTTTTTTACGGCTCCAATACGACCATTTTTATCAAAGAAGAATCGCAAAAAAAAATGTATCCTTTAATTTTTTGTATTAGTGTAGAAGTTTTACATTGCTACTGGTTTCTAATGTGGAAACTACCAAATAATAGGAAATCAGATTTTTTAGTCTCGGTCAAAATTTTAAATAATAAAAAATTTAATATATTCTACATTTCACTTTATTATTAATACCTATACATTTTACTCAAAATTTCATTTTGAAAAAAAACAAAAAAAAACGTTTTTTTTTAGGTTTTTTTCACATTTTAGGTTTTTTTTCAAGATTAGTCCCGTTTGCCTAATTTTTTTAGTTTCCAGTCCAGTTCATGGACTAAAATTTGCCTCTAAATGACAATTAGTAAATGTAAATGCTATGCACGCGCCACCACCACCGAATTGACCAATAATTTGGTCCTAAAAAAAGTAACTACATATAATATTTTTGATTCAGCGTTTGATTTTTCAAAAGGCACTTTTTTCATGATTTTTCAAATTCATGTAGAGTATGGATTTTTAAAAAAAAAAAAACAATAGCAAATTCTTGTAGAACATTCCGTGGACCAGAAAGCCGATTTTTTTATTACGGTATTCGTTAGGATTGAGCATTGCACATTTTTCATCTCAAAACTAGAAACGTCAAGCTTCAAATTGCTTTTTTTACGGCTCCAATACGACCATTTTTATCAAAGAAGAATCGCAAAAAAAATTTATCCTTTAATTTTTTGTATTACCTAGTGTAGAAGTTTTACATTGCTACTGGTTTCTAATGTGGAAACTACCAAATAATAAGAAATCAGATTTTTTAGTCTCGGTCAAAATTTTAAATAATGAAAAATTTAATATATTCTAGTAGAAATGTAGAATAATTCTACATTTCACTTTATTATTAATACCTATACATTTTACTCAAAATTTCATTTTGAAAAAAAACAAAAAAAACCGTTTTTTTTTTCTAGGTTTTTTTTAGAGATGGGAATCGGAAAGTTTCCATTTTAAGGAAACTTTCCGTTTTGGAAAGTTTCCAATTGGGAATTTATTTTCATTTTGAAAGTTTCTTTTAAGCTACCGGAAACATTCCTTGGAAACTTTCCTTGTTTTTTTCATTTAAATGTCAATTGTTTAACCGCTGATTTTCGTTAACGCCATGATACAAGGCCAAGAAACTTTGAATAAGAATTTAATGTGGGTTAATTTAAAGCAGAAGAAGTATAAATAATTTAAGTTATGTTACATTATGTAACTTACATAACCTCAATGAATAAAAAAGGTAAACAAAATAAAAACAATAAACAAACTAATATATAACTGGATAAGAAACTGAAGAAGCTACTGTGTTAGCGAAACAATTGTCAAATAAAATTTAAATAAATTCGTGAAACTCAAAAACAGTGTTTGTTTTTTATCCAGTTATATATTAGTGACATGTAGTTTCATCAAGTAAAGGTCGAAACAATAAAATACAATAAACAAAGTTAAAATCATTCTTACATTTTTGTTGTTTATTTATAGGCAATGTCTATTAGGCATAGCACAATGCCAAGAAAAAAATCTAGTGTTTGGAATTATTTTTTACTTTACTTTTTACTTTTCAATATTCCTATATATTAGTTACTTTGTCCCTTTTAATTTTTTTTACGTAATATCTAGGATTTACTAGCAGTGAATTTCTAATAGTAAACATTTTATTTTTATTTTGTAGGTTTCAGTATACAATAGGAATATTCCAAAGTAAAAGATACTAAAAATAGTATTGCAGTTACATTCTTATAAACATTTTTTTAATTTTTTTCTTAATAAAATTTGACAAAAAGTTAATGTGTTATATATTTTTGCAAATCCATGGCATAAAAAAATATTTAATATTTTCGCAATAAAAAATCTTTTTTTGAAACTTTCGGAAAATTTCGGGAATTTTCGATGGAAAGTTTCCGGGAATTTTCGTCAAATGGGAATTTTCCCATCTCTATTTTTTTCATGTTTTTTTTCACATCTGAAAAAAACCGTTTTTTTACATCTCTACAGGTGTGCGAGCGCACGTTCCACCGCAAAGACCACCTGAAGAACCACTCGAAGGTGCACAGCCCGAGCAAGGAGATCTACGCGTGCGAGAAGCCCGACTGCAAGAAGGAGTACACCTCGCTGATGAGCTACCGCAAGCACCTGGCCATCCACGAGGCCGAGGCGGGCAACCTCACGTGCGCCATCTGCTCGAAGACGTTCGAGACGAAGGACGAGATCGTGTACCACCTGAAGATACACTCGGGCAGCAGGACGGTGAAGAACCCGGACGAGAAGAAGTGCACGTGCGACTACTGCGATCGCAAGTTTTTCACGAAGAAGGACGTGCGCAGGCACCTGGTGGTGCACACGGGCATGCGCAACTTCCTGTGCCAGTACTGCCCGCAGCGGTTCGGCAGGAAGGACCACCTGGTCAGGCACATCAAGAAGTCGCACGCGCGCGACGTCAAGGACGAACAGCAGACGGCCAAGTCGGAAAAAAAAGAGCTACCGGAAACCGTTACCAAGCCCAAGACCGAAGTCAAAATCGAAAGTGTAAGTTTTATTTTATTAAAATGTCACAAAAAATTGAATTTCACATTTTATTTTATAAAATCGTTATTTATGAACATTGCCTTTAGAGATTTAACGCTTTCTCCGCCATTGGAACTTATACCTACAAAAAATGGGGTGAAAAAATTTGGTTGAGAAATTGTCATTGCTTAATAAAATAATTTTTTCTATTTCGACCTTTAAAACGCCCAATATCGTACATGTTTCCATAACACTAACTAATTTTTAAATACTCATTGACAAGATGGCGTATTAGTCATGAGCTGAAGTTAGCAACAGGTTTTAAGTCACAGCCTGAAGTTAGCTTTAAGATGACAATCATCAAATGTCAAAATAAAGTGCTCTTATAAAATTAGGAGCATCCGTGCTAAACCGGCTATATCCACTTTAATAAAATGTTGGGAAAATGGCAAAAACTCTCGGTTTCCTGGCCTTTACAGATAAATGAAAAAGCAAACTTGAGTTTTGTGGGCTTTGTGGTACTTACTTGATTTATAAGACATACTTTCGTTTTCAAAAACTTTATATTAAGGCCAAAATTTCAAAAAATGTTTTGTATATAGCCGGTTTTGCTCGAAAACCGAATAAAAAATGAAAAAAAAACCTTTATTGTGGTACTTACTTGATTTATAAGACATACTTTTCGTTTTCAAAAACTTTATATTAAGGCCAAAATTTCAAAAAATGTTTTGTATATAGCCGGTTTTGCTCGAAAACCGAATAAAAAATGAAAAAAACCTTTATTCAAAAATATTAACAAAATAAATTTAGTACAAACATGAAAAAACAGAACAAATTTTAGTAGTAGTAGCCACATATTATTATTTATTGGATATAGCCGGGTTTGCTATAAAAACGTGGATTTGGCCGGTTTTGCTCCTAAAGCTACCTTTTAAATGTGTTTTTAACATAGATATAGTCGGATTTAAACAGAATTATCTTGGTTGTCGATAGAAATGAACCCAAAGATCATCAAAAAAATCAAAAAAAAAACTGAATAAAATGGATTTAGCCGGTTTTGCACGGATGCTCCTCAAATAATGGTAAATTTAAAAATTATTTTATTATCTCAATACAATAATACAAAATTATTAAACAGTTTCTTCACGCCAATCAACGGCTTATATGCATGTTTGAACTGACCTATGATTTCGACAGCAATACACTGGTTTTTGCTGAAAGCATTACAAATTTCTGGTAGAGTACCCATAAAACATCCACTTCACTTTCACTGTAAAAACTGCTGCTATATCGGATTTACACGGTTGTTAGTCCATATCAAGAGATAAATATCTATCTTTAAAGAAAAATTTGACAATCAACTACCAGTTTTTAGCCGATAAAACAGATTCACTGGTTGTATTATACAAATATTTAAATTAATTGATAATATCATCATTTTGTGTGTTTATTATTATTAAATGGGGGTTTTACAGGTTGATGTTAGTTGAATCTAGGAAGGCGAGTACTGCTTTTATAAGATGTTTGTCAGATTTATGGGATTGATGTGGATTCTACTTAGATTTCAATATAGGTTATTGATGTGGTCTGTCTGTGTTGGGCATTCTAGAAATATGTGGTTTCTGGTTTGTAAGCCAATTCTATTTAGATGGGATTTTGTGAGACAGTGACCACTTCTTAGTCTCAGGAAGGTCGTGATGTGTCTTCTATCTAGAGAGTTGATTGAGATCCAAGGCTTTTTGTGCCAGGAGGATTGAAAAAATAAATAATATTGGCTACCTAGTAGGTAGTACTTACATAGACATATTGATAAGTAAAAGATACTAAAAATAGTATTGCAGTTCTGACCAATAAAATATGAAAAAATAAAATCAACATTTTTAAAAATACAGGCTCTGGAGTTGATACAATTATATTTATTAGTCCAACCATCTGAAAGAATTGTCATATTATTAGCCTCTTGTACTTTTTGATTTTAGCATATTCAGAGTTAAGCAATGTTGTACCTAATTTATTTCTTTCAGGTAGCTTGAAACTTGGACGTAGTTGCTTAAAAAATATTACAACATCAGGGGCAAGAACTAGACTAAATTGCTCAAGCAAATAGTTCTTCCAATTTATTCTTTTTTCGTTAAGAGACATGTTAACAAAATTTTTTATGTTTTCAGTACTGGCATTGCTACCTGGTGGACTTTCTTCTTGACTTTTAGTAGACTTAAAATTTTGCATAGATAATCTTATAGTATAAGATATTATCTTGTGGGGAATTTTTTTATATGTTTGACCATTTTGGTTGCAAACGACATATATTTTTTTTACAGAACTTGCATTGAGCATCGTTTCTTTTTTGCACTATTTTGTAATAATTCCAAATGTAACATTTTTCTCTTGGCATTTTACTAGGTATATTAGACTGGGCCAAAAAAATCAACTATTTTTTTTTGAAAAGTATATCAAAAATATGGTTTTTGTAGAGAATTTAATTTCCCATAAGAATATTTATCGTTTTTTTTTCAGGGTACTGATTTTTACTTGAATTACAAAATTCCAAAGTTAAAAGATCAAATTGTAAAACTATACCAATTTTTAAGGCATGATTGTAAGACAACGGTTCATCTGACGGGAAATTCCAATCAAACCTTTTTTGTAGATCATTTCATTTTCTTTAAAAAATATTCTTAAGTCAATTTTGTTAAAGTCAATGATTTGGGAGTTCTGAGATAAAAACTCGCCAGGAAAAAAAATATCTAAAATTGCGATGATAGACCTCTTAATACTAATATTATGGACTCAAACTTTCACAATAATTTTTTTTTGTCACCCCAAACCATATTTTCGATATACTTTTCAAAAAAAAATAGTTGATTTGTTTGGCCCAGTCTAAGGTATATGTATAAATAAACAATAAAAACGTTGTAATGATTTTAACTTGGTTTATTGTTTTTGTTTTGTTTACCTTTTAAAAGGCTTTTATGCAAAGGGTTTTTGCAAACGATTTATGAATTGTGATGATGAGATCTTCAACAAACTTTTTCTTCTTTAAATTAACACAAATTAACTTCTTATTATTCAGTTTCTTGGCCTTAACTTCGCAAATCAGCTGTTAAACAATTGAAACTTTCAAAATTAAATGGAAACTTTCCAAAATGAAAACTTTTCGATTTCCATAATAAACTAATGTTAAGTTTTACGGCCGTAATTTTGAAATATCCCACTTTTTCCAGTGCAACACCAGCGAGTTTCCGCTCGAGTACATAGACATAGACGAGACGCTGTTCATCGAGCCGTCGACGTCGAACCCCGCCGAGTTGACGGACCTGGGGCCGATCGTCCTCGAGGACGAGATCGCGGACGACGACGACGCCGCGCTGGCGGACGTCCCCGTCCCGGTGCCCAACGTCCTCGACGAGAGCGTCGTCGCCAGGCTGCTGGATTCCGCCGACGACGACAACACGCCGCTGCCCTCTTTCAGCAAGACCTTCCAGCCGCCTCCGACGTAACCTTTCCGCCGCAGGTTCGTTCCGCATAGTATTATGTATCTCAGTGATTTCATTTTTTCAGGAATATTGCATAGGTCAAGTAATATGCGTTCCCAGTAATGGGGTTGTTAACTGTTTTACAAAAATATGACTCAGGGTTGAGAACCAATAGTTTATTGTTTATAACAAAACTTATAGTTATATGTTTTAAAATGTAGCACTGAAAGCAGAGTTAGCAGGTTAATAAGAATACAAAAACTTGAAAAACAAAAATCAAAAATCCAATTTTTTAAATTTGGAACAAGAGACATAACTTACAGTTGAGTCAAGCCACGTCAAGTGGGACCAGAAAATTTCACGAAATCACCGATTTTAAAAATAATCACATTATTGTGTAGTAGGCATGACGTATATGTCACAGTAAAAAAATTGTTTCGAAATTCGCTTTTTTAGTAATGTTATTAAAGTTAATAATTTTGTCAAACTTTAGAGCATGGTAAAATTGAAAAAATAGAAGATATTAAATTTTTTATCCCGCTGTGCGTTCGATCAGTACGCAGCGCGCTTCGCTGCTAGCCCGTTAGCACAGCTTTCGGTTAGAACCTTAGATCATACATCATCCCCTTGTATGATCTAAGGTTAGAACCGACGAGCTAGCAGCGAAGCGCGCCGCGTACTGATCGAACGCACAGCGGGATAAAAAATTTAATATCTCCGGAATAAGATATAAAGGACAAATTTTTGAGTACTTACATTTTATTAAACGGGAATGTTTGCCGCATATTATGACACAAGATTAATTTTTTTCAGCGTGAAGAACACATAAAAAATTTCAATTGTTTATAATAAATGTATGCAAAATTCTTGTATTTAAACAAATTTACCTTAATTTAAATGGCAATTCTATAGTCTAAACATTGCTACAATAGTTTAACTTAAATAACATTAACAAAAAACTGAATTTCAAAACATTTTTTTTACTGTGACATATCCCCAGTAGCACAAAGATATTGGCCCAATATTCGTTTTATATATTGGGCCAACATATCTTTCGTCAGATTTTTTCTAGCTTGGTCCAATATTGAAACCCAACATTGGCCCGAAGTTGTTTGACATTATATAACCAATATTGGAAATCCATATTGGCCCGAAGTTGTTTTACATTATATAACCCATATTGAAAATCCGCATTGGCCCAATATTTGTTTAACCTTAAATTTTAAATTTTATAAAAAGCTTTTGCTAAAAGTAAGTAGTGGGACCCAAAGATAATACACCCCATAGATTGGAAACTGCACTAGCGCTAGCGGCAAAAGGCTAAAGTAAATTAACGCCATCTAGGTCTACAATAACCTTAGCAATGCCAAAAATTGAAGTAGATTTCTGTAACATATTGGCGGCAAATTTGAATGTTGATGCTTAGTAGGGTGCCTTTATATATTGTATTTACTGCTGTATTTTAAATAAAACAAGTATGAATATAAGATTTATTTATTGTAGTAATATTATAATATAAAATAAAATACATACATCTTATGTACATATTAAATACATGAATATGTTTTTGTTTGGGGAGTGTAAACCTAAAAAATATTAGTCTTAATTCTTCAATAATAAGAGAATATTGCAAAATTTGGTAATTTAGTCCAGGCTACTTATACATATACATATAGGAATTTGTACAAGGCTTTTGAGTGTGGACTTATGGCAAGTTCTAACCAACCGTGAAAAATCCATCTTGCCAACTCTTGGTTTTTAAACAACCATAAGTAGCCTGGGCTTGGCCTGGACTAAATTACCATTAAACAAGCAATCCTAAATAATTCATAATTAACAAACATTATTTTTACGCTAGAGCGATACTGCCGAGCTTAGCCAAAAAGACGCAACTCCACATTTTTAGTTTATAAATTATAGCGCTTTATTTTTTTTTCATAAGATACGTTCAATTAAATTAGAAATTTTTAGGAGATATAGTACCTACTTAAAAATGTATGTATAGTTAAAATGCGTCTTTTTTGCTAAGAGAATAATTTATTAATATTGGAGATGAGTCTTTTTGGCTTAGGACGGCAGGATAGTCAATACTTACAAATTGGTTACATTTCCGCACCCAACAACAATACATTCTACAACCATTAACACGTTTTATCACTTTTAAGGCGCAAAAATGTATTTAATAATTCAAAAATTCTGATTGACATCAATAATTATGATTGACATTGACATTTGCAAGTAGCGTTTGTACAGATGTCTGCAATTAACAAATAGGTATAGTTCAGGTATTGTAGCTCTAGAGGGCAGTGGTGGGAGAGTTTCCAATCTATGGGGTGTATTATCTTTGGTGGGACCCACTGCTTACTTTTTGCAGAGTGGGCCACAGGACCAGCTGTGTCCCTTCAAAACTTACAAGCAGAAGCGGTATGGTCAGTAATTTTGCCTTAGTAAGAAATTCTAACTTAACAGCTTAAGGCATTCCACCTTTATAGGAGTATCTATTGTGCTACAGAGGCGAGAGGTATGCATGGGTTGCCTACATATTGGCGAATTTTGAAACATTTGAAACAATATGGGGCCAACATAGCACACACATCGACTATGATATATTGGATAATCATGTTACGCCAATATAGGGCCAACCTTGAATAAATATTTTTAATGATATATTGGCGTAAAATGATATGCCAATATAGGACCAACCTTGGATAAATATTTTTAATGATATATTGGCTAAACTGATATGCCAATATTGGACCGTTCTTGGATAAATATGTTTAATGATATATTGGCGTAAAATGATATGCCAATATAGGGCCAACATCGGCTAAATAAATCCAATATTGGTCCCAGATAAAATATTGGGCATATATGCGCCCCATATAGGACCAATATTTTGTGCTACTGGGGATGGGTCATGCCTACTACACAATTATGTGATTATTTTCAAAATCGGTGATTTCGTGAAATTTTCTGGTCCCACTCGACGTGGCTTGACTCAGTTGTTTTTTTCCGTGCTTATTACGGAATATGACCGTTTTAAGATCACTTTTTAACATGGAAGAACATATATTTCAAGTGTTATACCAGGTGAGTTTTTTTGAGTGTTTCAAGGGGATATTTCGAAAACGGTTTAAATTATTTTTGTGAAATTTTGGTAAACTATACTGCCCGTCAAAATTAACGCATAATAAGTAAAAAAATTCTAACTTAAAACGCCTTTACCAATCTTTATAAAATTTTGAATAAAAATACTTTAACTTATATCTCAGTTCACGTTTTCAAGGGTTTTTCGAAAAAATATCCTTAAAGCCTTTTGATTTAATATTTAAAAAAACGCTCGAAAATGATGAAACTTCTTTCTTGGTTTCTTCCACCATGTCGAAAAAAAAAGAAAAGTTTGACTGCATTTAATAGATTTAAAAGGTCATATTTGTTAATCAAAGATATGTTACCAAAAATTCAATTTAAAAAAATAAAACAAATACCAATTTTTGCATAATTCTTCAACCAATCTTTGATAATTATTTAAATCCTAAAATAGAAAGATAAGTTAAACAGAAGATGGGAACATCTTAACAGTTTTATCAACCTAAGAAATTGCCATATTACTACATTAACATCACACTGACAAAATCAAATTTTGAACAACAAAAAATCTCGGTAATTAATACACTGCGTGTCAAAATTAACGCATGACTAGTAAAAAAAAATCCAACTCTAAAACGCCTTTACCAATCTTTATAAAATTTTGGATAAAAATACTTTAACTTATATCTAAGTTCACGTGTTCAAGGGTTTTCGAGAAAATATCCTTAAAGCTCTTTTATTTAATACAAAAAAACGCTCAAAAAAAACTTTTATAGGGATTTTTTTTTAAGTAAATAAAAAATATGCTGTGAAATACCGTATTTTTGTAAGTATACTCTGAAAATGGACAAATTAAACGAACAGTAACGAAAATACAGCGCTTTAAAATCGTCAAAAATGACCACTTTTCAGCAAAATAATCAAAAAAGGGTCATTTTTACCGACTTTGAAGCACTGTATCTTCGATACTGTTGGTTTGATTTCTACAAAATTTTCAGGGTATACTAACAAAAATACGGTCTTTAACAGCATTTTTTTTATTTACTTAAAAAAAAATTTCCCTACAAGTTTTTTTTTGCGTTTTTTATTATTAAATAAAAGGGCTTTAAAAATATTTTCTCGAAAAACATGTAAACTGAGATATAAATATTTTTGTACAAAATTTTAGTAAGATTAGTAAAGGCGTTTTAGAGTTAAATTTTTTTGACTTTACGCGCAGTGTAATAGATAAACATATTTAAACATATTTTTGACACCTACCCCCTTTCCCTATTTTGATGGATTTTTAATTTAAATTCAACTAATTTATCGACTGTCACATCTAAAAAATTCTTCAAAATGTCCTCCTTCAACTTCTAAACACTTTCTTTCTTTTTCTAAATAATTTTCGTACACTTGATAAATTCATTCCAATACTAATTGATGGAATAAGCACTGGTGGCGACATCTCTGTTTATAATAATAATAATAAAATCAGGTTATTCGTCTCCAAAAACTTTACAGGTTTACAGAGAGACACCTCTAAATAGTTTTAACAATTAGTTGTATATGGGTAAAAATCAAAAAATGTTTAGGTAGGCGTCTTTGGCTAATTAAAAATTAGAAAAAGAAGTGAAGTGTCTCAAAACTTATTAGTATTATTTCTGCATGTTAATTATACGAGATTTATATTAAATATTTACCCAGATTTAAAAACATCGATTAAAAAGAAAAACAAAGAGCTATTTTGTCTCGTCGGTAACGCGTCCCTTATTACGTTTTACAATTTTACGCTAGATTTTTCAATCAAATCATTTTTAAAAACAGGACAAATGTAAATCACTTTAAAGAAACTAACACCAAGTATTAAATAAATTACATTTTATTTAAAAACAATTTGGTTTTAAAGATCCAGCCTTTGGGTAACAGACTGTCTGCCTTGATCGCATCCTGTCGGTAACGATAACTGTAATTTTGCCTAAAATCCGCCAGGATACGTAATACCTGTCATTTGTTGGTTAGTGTGCTAGAGTTAGTGTTTATGTGTCATTCAAACCAGGTAAGTTTTTCTGTTTATGCATTAAAAAAATATATTTAGGCTTGTTTGCATAAAAACGCTACCGTATTTTTTTACGATGTCTAATCGGTAACTGTTCTAGCGGTAAAATTTTGATGTCGATATGAGATTTGTTACATTTTTCTGATGTATAACACCAATATTTGCAATTTTGATTATAGTGGTATTTACTATAAGTATTTTTTTAAACATATATTTTGATTAATATTCCATTTACAGAACCTTTATTCCCGACAAACTATACTGTTACCGACTAGACATAATTGAGATCAGAAGACAACAATTATCAACATAACAAAAAACTACCTTTCCTTGATCTCAAAGATAAGCTTTATTATGTTGCGAAATCTTTATTTTAGAATATTAAAAAGTTTAATGGACAAAAAGCAACATTTTAGTTTTTTAATTGTTGTAGGTCGTTTTCCAAAGATTTTTTGATTTTCACCCATATACAGAACAAAAACATTACATTATATATCTCAATATCACAATACATTATATTATATATCACAGTAAATTACATATCACATTTGTATTCGAAATTACATACCAGGCTATTCAATAATAGTTATTTATGTATTAAGGGCATAATAAGGTTTTTATGGTCCGAGGCGCTATTTCGAGCCCGAGCGCGTTAGCGCGAGGGCTAGAAAAGCGTCGTAGGACCATAAAAACCAGTTATGCCAGCAATGCATACAAAACTTTATGCACGATTAATATATTATTATTTTTAATATATTATTGTTTTTAAAGACGTTTACGTCAAAGAATTTTTGTTATAATTGTCATATTATAATGTCAACTGACATCAGTCAGTTTTAAAGTTTTAAGATAAATGAAATTGAGGAAGCAGCTGAAAAGGCGAAAAATTGCGGCTTGCTGCCGGTAAAATCAAAATCTTTATACGAAAAAACTTACTTCGAATATATCAAATGGTGTAACATTGTTGTTTTTAATTTTTGACGTTCCATTATAGCCCGCTGGGCCATAATAACGCCCGCGGGCTATAAAAAGACGTTTACGTCAAAGAATTTTTGTTATAATTGTCATATTATAATGTCATCGTGCATAAAGTATTTTACGTTCTTTGATAGTTCAAGTTTAAATTTATCACGCTTCAAGTCTCTTATCTCCCTTGGTAGATTGTTATATAACACAACATCACGATATAAAATGGATTCCACACCCACCCGTGAATTCACCCTAGGTATATCAACTGTCAAACCAATCTCACCCCACTTTCTCTCACATTTTTTCCAACATGTACATATACTTACAAAAAATATAGTCTGAAACACGTTTGGAATTGTATATTTCGCTTGAGTGAAAAGTTTATATGGCTGTATTAAACATTTTGAAAGAAAAATGTATAATTAAAAACTGAACTACCTTATTCTTCTGATAAAATACCAGGGATATTTTCTATAAATATTGGTACCTAATAAAAAAATTACCAAGAAGTTATGAAGATGCTGGGGTATCTGCTAGAGAATTTTGCAAAAAAACGGTTTATTTTTTGTTTGATTTTTCTGATTTGAAAAAATATTAAATCAAAATTGCTAAACTGGTTTTGTTATTTTTATCTAAAACTGCTTAATTTATCAAAAAAATAGTTTTTGTTTAACTGAAAAAAGGTTCAAAATACGCGTTTTGTCAATTTTCATGCAATACTAGGGTTTTAAACGAAAAAATTGGGGAAAAACTGTTTTTTTCCATCTCTTGGAATAATTGTCTTCTTTGGCAAAAACTGATTTTTTTTTGGAAAACACACCCATTTGAAAAAACAACAACTTAACATATTTTAATTAATTTAAAAAATATCCTTTATTACAGAAAAAAATAAAACTAAATATTGAATTAAATTAAATTGATTTAAGAAAATTAGCGTAATCGTTAAATGGGTCTTTTTTGCAAAAATATTCAATTACAAAATATTAAATGATTTATAAAGTTAAATTACAATTATATATATATATATATATATATATATATATATATATATATATATATATATATTATATTTTTATAAATCAAAAACAGCAATGCTCGCGACTCGCGTGCGGGAGATCTCTTGAAACGTAAAAGTTTAAAGATGAAACCAACAATAATTTAAAAAAAAAGGGGTGCGAACTGATAAGTGAAACAAACATTTTCATGGAGTGCAAGCTAAAATGGTGTAACGGTCATTGAGGAGCGGAGTGTTGGGTGATATGAATGACTTGGGTGCCACCTGTCATTGGAGGCTTATCACTGGACGGACGGGGGAGGTCGGAGAAGAGGGGAGGTGGCCATCCGCAAGGGGAAAAATCTGATAAGTTTTACTTTAAGAGTATGCATGACCTGATACAAATCTGCAATATAAATACGGCAGATCCCAACAAGCATTTTCCGTTATTTGACACCATTAACATTGCCCGTATTCATTTCATTAAACATAACATTTATTTTACTTGAAAATGTTAAAATGACTTTAAAAATGATTATGTTAAGAACATATTTTACTCTTTAAACAATTGTTTTGTTTTAATTACTATCATTGCAAAATTGTATTAAAAAGTGTTAAAAATTCTTACACGGGCAATGTTAGTGGGGATAGGTATCGTTAAAGTGTTTATTGGGATATCTTTAAAACCTAAGAAGGGCACGCAGCGTGGGGCAATAAGTCTGTCAACAGCAAATGCGTAAGGCGGTCCCAATCGAGCCGGAAAATAAACACTGGACTGACAGAGTAAACTAACATTGAACAAAATTCTAACACATTAAAAAAAGGGCCTAATAGCCAAACTCGAGTTTGTAAACATTAGACAACAGAATAATCGCGCTTGTGATTTGTTTGACTAGTGAATAAATGCAATGCTTTGGAATTTGATAAACAAAGACGGAACTCTACCACAAAACGTGCTTGGGACAAAAATTATTAAAAACAACTAACACACTTTACCAAGGGCAGGAACTATCTGACCAGGACACGGACAATGACAATAACGAACAAGACAAAGACCTCGACTAGGAAACTACACCCCTGCAGCGAAATAACAACTCCCCAACTCCAAATAGTGATCCCAAATGTTTGGAGTAATACTAATCGACTGGTCTAGGGGGATTCCGCGTCGTACTTAGTTTTAAGTCGGCGTAATTGTCCCCCAAAAACCAACTCCCTCCCGTCCCTCATCCATACCCCACCGAGCGTATAGCATAGGCTCGGCGAACCCGGGAATGGCTATTATAACTATTCGCCTCTCGCTCTCGAGCCCCAAATAGGGGACAGTACGTAACGCAATGGACATTCGCACCCAGCAAACACGGGTGAAGCCGTGCAGTTGCTGGGGAAGAACAAAAATCGGCGTAAGTAAACATAGGCCTGTACGGGGTTCGAGAGTCAAGAGGAAATGGGGCTGGTTATACGTCTCTTATACTCATACTCATACTCATATATTATATTTTTATAAATCGAAGTGTCAAATAAAACGAAAGTAATGTTAATACGGCACCGAATATGTTTTTTGCGGCCCGGTAGAATATTCTTACTGAATTAAAATAAAAGGATTAAAATCAGTGTCAAAAATTTATTTTTTTCTCGATATCAGTGTACGGATAACATTCGTAAAAATTTGAAAATTTTCAGAAAAAAATACTTTTTTATTTTGTACCCTTTGAATAAAATGAAAAAAAGCAAAAGTCACTTTTTCTGTAAAGTTACAGAAAAATAATTGGCCTAGCAATTAAAACCCTTCTTTTTTTTGTTTTTAACAAGAGATAATGTTTTTCAAAATTTCCGTTTTCTCAGTCAATCAAATTTTTCGGAATTTTGAAATGTTCATATCAAAATCGAGTTAACAACCCTTTCACTTGGGACCGCATACAAAACTTGAGTAATTTACTATAGGAATAGAAAATATATAAAAATAATTTAAAAAATCCTGCCTTAAATCAAAAACGTAAAATATATTATCTAATCATTCTATTATTATTAATTTGAAACAAGTATTGATCGTACTTTATTGTTCCATTAAACATCGCACTTTCAACAAAGACTTAGTTCATAATTTTGGAAAAAGTAGAAATTCCAGAATCTCGTATTTAAAAGTGTTCTGTTGATATTTTAGTAAAACGCCTTCCAGTGTTCATTATGGTGTTAGCTATTTTTTATGTTATTTTATTTAAATAATTCATATTTTTATTACTGTTATTGTGAATTAATCTATTTAATCATTTAAAATATTTGTAAATTATTTAGTCGATCTGAAGCATAAATGTTTTCCAAAGTAAACTATTTAATGGTGCTATATATATTATAAAATATTTATGTAATGTAAGCTTTATTTTCCAGTTACATTTGGCTTTCAAACTTTCATTTTAAATTATTGTGATTATAATTTTAAGTTGACTTTTATTTTGGAAGTTTGTTTGCCAATTGTAACTAAACTGCATAATATGTATATTAAACCTAGTTTATTATAAAATATTTATTTAGTTATACAACAAAATCACCACTTAACTTTAAGTACAAAGGTTGTATTAACATTTTGCCATACAATAATTATAATTTATTTAAAATGGAGTGATAACCATGACAAAATGTTAATGATATCAAAATCAGTTTACTAATAAAATAATCTACCTCATTTTGCAACAAATCATTGCTGTAAAACAGCTAGTCATAGTTTATAAGAACCACATAGTTTTTATATCAGAAAATACATTTTACTACATTACAGGTTTTGTATATAAAATTTCACATCTGTATTTTAAATATTGTACAAACTATATTTTTATACAAATTATAGTATTATTTATAAGATTTATTCTTTTATTTCACTCCTCTGAAGCGTTTTCTATCAAATCAAAAAGTAAATTTATAAAAAATATATTCAATTCAATTTAAATAGGTTGTTAATTTACAATGTATAAAATTGTCAATAATAAAATGTATACAATCTTTGCTTGTATGCTCTAAGGTTTTTTTTATAATATACTGGTATTCTGGGTTGCATAGTTACATAAAATGCGCCATCTTTTAAAATAAGTCTGATCTAAATAGTGCGATATTTCAAAGATAGATGGCAACAGTGGTTGATTATCAATATAACCTCAAATTGTTATATTTTGTTAAATTGATGAATAATTCTAATTAGATTGAGTAAGTACTTATGTTCATTTACTTTTATTCATTAAAAATATATTTTTATTGTAATTTAAATATTTTAAAGGCAAAGACATTGTTTTGTTGATGTTTACATTACCGGTATTTTTTTAGCAAAGATGGGGCTTTTAACGGACCCAAGCGCCGAACAAGGCAAAGCCACGAAAGCCTTGCTAAAATACCACACAAAATTATCATTATTACTGTATTTGTCTGGCGTGGTATGGTTTTGTGTACTTGCTTATCCTTCAATGAATGCCAGTACGTATTTTTCCGAAAACGCCCTTTTACCAGGTCTAGTCAAGTCAGAATTCAGGGAAGATAAATCGGCTGAAAGATTTTTGCACGAACTTGAAGATGAAATGAAGAAATATAAGGATTCTGTGCCATACTCTTGGATATTGGCTAAATTTCAACAAATTGGACTCGATACATATACCCACAATTTTACATTGAATTCGCCTTTAAAAATAAACGAGGTAAGTTTTATAGCTTTCTTAAATAAGTATATCCAATTTAAGCTGTCATCTATTCTGGTTTGACAGTCTTAAGTCATTTACATTTATCATGTTTAAGTTGACATCTTTAAGACAGTTATATCTATCTAAAGTTAACATTCTTAACACATTTAAAACAAAAAATGATATTTTGGTGATAGATTTTATAACTTATTAGGTTAAACCACATAGTTATTGGACACTTAAGGAATATTATTTATTTAACATTTATATCAGTGTTGTAACAGTTACAATATTTTCAGTATCTAGTTACAGTTACAGTTACTTACCAAAATTTGTAACTAGATGCAGATACAGATACATATTTTATTGCAGTAACTAGTTACAGATACAGTTACCTTCAAAAAGTATCTAGATACTTTAAGATACATACAAATTATTTTTTGCTTTAAAAAATTTAAAATAGAAATAAAAGGGAATTTTAAAGTGACAACAAAAATATACATGTTTATTATTTTTATTTTTTTTATAATATTTTATTTAAAATAACTTATTTTTTATATTTTTTTTAAATAAATAATAGTCGCAGTTTAATTAAAAATGTATCTTTGTATCTTAACACACCTAGTTACTTAGAATTTGTAACTAGTTACAGTTATAGTTACTAGATTGGGATAACGGCAATTTCAAGCGGATGGACGGGACAAATCACAAAACTGTTTTTATAAAAAAAATTGTAGGTAATTTATTATAAATTATTTTTGCATCAAAATTGTCAAATATATTCTTCTATTATTAGGCTATACATTAAATAAAAAAAATCGCAAGAAATATTTTATAAAAGTAGAGATAATTTCAATAATTGACAGGGGTGGACAGGACAAGATAAATCTTTTTTTTGTCCCGTCCACACCTTTCAATTATTAAAATTATATCTACTTTCATAAAATATTTCTTGCGTTTTTTTAAATTTAATGTATAACCTAATAAAAGAAGAATATTTTGGACAATTTTGATGCCAAAATATTATATAATAAATAATCTACAATTTTTTTTATAAAAACAGTTTTGTAATTCGTGCGTTTCGCGCGCTTGAAATGGTTAATAAGTAACTAGTTACACAAACAGATACATAAAAAGTATCTAGATACTGTATCTAGTTACTTGTAACTAGATACGTTACAACACTGATTTATATATACCGATCTTTTAAAGATTTTAGTTTTTTTCTTATAAATATATAAAAAGGATAGTTTGTTTGTTTAAACTTTATTTACGTTTACTTAAAAATAAGAATAATTGAATTTTTAATAATAGTTTTATAAAAACATGCAAAAAAAGTATAGTAATTGGACATTTTATACAGGGCGTCCCACAATTAGTGCGACAAAATGAAGGTGTATTATCTAAAGACCCACAGGAATTACAGAAAATTATTTAAAAAATTAAGAATTAAACTATTACTTTGTTATGAGGCAATGTTGTCTTATAAAGAAAATATGACTCCCCCGTATCTTATTAAATAATGATGAAAGAATTTTTTAAACAATTTTCTGGAATTCCCGGGGGTTTTAAGATAATACACCTTCATTTTGTCGCACTAATTGTGGGACACCCTGTATAGTAATTGGACACATGGACCATAGTTATTGGACATACAACATAAATTGTTAAATATTTTTAAAGATAAATTGTTAACAACAATTGTTTTAGGTAATTTTATTTAATTTTTGTAAATATCATATAACTCATAAATTTCTTTCTTGAATTCCTCATCCCTTTTCTGTATTCTGAAGTTAACTACTAATTCCTTGGTCTGACTTCTGAAATAGATAGAATAGAAAATATTTCAGAAGTCAGACCACTTATAAGTGTGGTATATCTAGTTTGTGAAGCATTTATAATGTTTAGGCCGGAACAGGATGATTTATATATATCTAATATTTTTTCGGGTGGTATGTTAAAAGTATTTTACGAATTTATTAATTTTGTTGCCATTAGTTTTCTATGTTCTCTATCATACACTGTATTTAAATCACTGTTATTCTGCAAGATTTCCTGTGTCGAAGAAATCACTATATTACTTACTCTCTAAAATGAATTAGTTAAAAATTTCATAGTGAAAAAGCAGCCAATAATAATTCTCGTCAACAGCAATTTGTATTCAGGACATTTAGCAGTAAATTCCTATGAAATATTATACGCTGAATCCGAAAATGTCAAAAGTTATAAAGTAGAACAGTTTTTGAAATATAATCAATTTTACATATAATATGGAATTGACTATATCTCAAAAACTGCTTAACTTTTATAGATTTTGACGGTCTTTTCGGATTCAGGGGAAAATTTTACATAATAATTGGCTGGTAAATGCCCTGGATATAAATAGAGTATGATATTGGACATATGTCCAATAATAGAAATTTACATTTTTTACCAACCAGTAATTGGGCACTGGCTACTTTACTGTTTTTCAGAATTTAAATTAAAACGCATTAAAGTGACAATGTTTAAACAAATTTATACCACACACTGATCTGTACAGTTTTTAGAAATATTTTTTATTGTAACAAAAAAACAAAAATCTTACCACCAAAGTAACGTGCGAACTTTTTTGTTCTATATTGAACCCAAAATAAAGTAGTTCTATATTATTACCGACTGAGATAGTTATAATTGTAAACAGCGTCATCTAATAATTTTACTATTTATAGAACTCTTGTTTTTACAATATTAATGTTAATTGTCTGATAACTGTCTACTTTATCCTACTACAGACTACATTTTTGTAGAAATACCCGGGTAAAAACGTATATGGCATCCTACGTGCACCCAGAGCATCCAGTACAGAAGCTCTAGTACTAAGTGTACCATACAGACCGGCCTCTAGCCCCCATCTAACGACAGCGCCATCTATCGCGATTATGCTGGCATTTGCGAAATACGCTAACCGAAATAATTATTGGGCGAAAGATATAATTTTCCTCATAACAGAACATGAGCAGTTGGGCGTTCAGGCTTGGTTGGAAGCCTATCATGGGGCAACAAGAGGTTACGAGGGGATTTTGGACAGTGGCGACTTGAGAGGTAGAGCTGGGGCTATTCAGGCTGCAATTAATTTGGAGTTTCATGAAGCCAGGATCGGGCAAATGGATATTAAAATAGAAGGGTTAAATGGGCAGTTGCCCAATTTGGATTTGTTCAATTTGGCAGTTAAAATGTGTACCAAAGAAGGATTGTCTAGTACTTTCAAAGGACGGGCTAATGAATATTACAGAGAACCTTTCGATGTTTGGTTTCATTATTTTAAGACTTTAATGGCTATGTTTTTTACTCAAGCAACAGGGGTGAGTTTTGTATTTATTTTTTTGAAATAAATTATGTAAAGTTATTTTTTGTTTTAGATTCCCAATGGTAATCATGGATTGTTCCATAGTTTTGGTATTCAATCCTTGACCATGGAAGGTTTTGGTCAGGCTAAAATCAGGGCTACAAAAGTGGGATTTTTGAGTACTGGTAGAATTTTGGAAGGGATTTTTAGAAGTTTAAATAATTTACTGGAAAGGTTCCATCAAAGTTTCTTCTTTTATTTGTTGCCTTCTTCAGATAGATACATTTCAATAGGTAAGTAAAATTTAGGATATGTTTTTTGCTCTAGGTATAGTATGGTACTCATTTTTTCAAACTTTTCTTTAATTATTCTGGTTTTTGTTTTTTTACTTTGTTTATTTGCATACTTGTTTCCAGTTACTCAATTAATTTGTATAGGTATCAAAAACGTCAAAGCAACATTTTTAATAAAACAATTTTATCTATTTGGCGTTCATAATGACTTTATTATAACACCGCTTTCGGTGCTGTAATGAGATACTTTATCCCACCCAAAATTTTGATTTTTTAGGTTGGCCATACTTTAAACAGCATAATTCTTTGCATATTGGTTATAATATTTTTATGATTTGTGTAGTACTTACGAGACTTTTCTGGCAATAAATTTTGTTTAACACCAAAGAAAATCCTTTTTTTCTTCTTTAACATTAACAGCCGCTTATTGTAAATAAGTAAATTAAGGACCGCATGGCGAATCGATTTTCACATTAACTGTCAAACCAACTATCTAAAGTAAAATTCGACCAAATTAAATTTAAGGCGTAAAATTAATTTTACTTATAGAATTTTTGCAAAATAGATAAAATAGCATAAAGAACTCATGTCATAAGACCTTTTGTCGCACTCGTCCATTATAAATTCTCAGCGTGCGACAAAATGACGTCTTATGACATTAGTTCTTTAATATACTATTATCTTAATAGTTATTTGTGTACCATGACCAAAAAGTGACTTTTTTCTGGACGAGTCCGATTTTAATGGCCGAAAGACGACGCGACGAGGACAAAATAACACTTTTTGGCAGTGGTACACACAAAATTTTTTAGGCGAGAATAATTATAATTATTTTATTTATGATTTGTTGACATAATTTTTTATCCACTGTTGATTATTAAAAATCCACTTTTTTGTGAAGGTTGACTAAAATAGTTAGTTTGGTACAAAGGCCAAAAAGTGACTTTTTTGAAAAAGTCTGATTTTAGAAAGAAGACAAAGAGGACAAAATAACACTTTCTAGCAATCATTTGTTTATGATGTATAGATATAATTTTAAATAAAACGGACAAAATAACAGTGGCCTAAAAAGTAATATGCGGCCGAAACAGTGACTCTTTTGGCCGCTTTTAATAATAATCGATAGATGGCGCCACCGTAAAACGGACAATAATGAAAGCGGCCGAAAGTGTTATTTTTAAAAAATACCTATATTGGCTAAAATATTTTTATGCACGATGACATTATAATATGACAATTATAACAAAAATTCTTTGACGTAAACGTCTTTTTATAGCCCGCGGGCGTTATTATGGCCCAGCGGGCTATAATGAAACGTCAAAAATTAAAAACAACAATGTTACACCATTTGATATATTCTAAGTAAGTTTTTTCGTATAAAGATTTTGATTTTACGGTCAGTTGACATTATAATATGACAATTATAACAAAAATTCTTTGACGTAAACGTCTTTAAAAACAATAATATATTAAAAATAATAATAAATTAATCGTGCATAAAGTTTTGTATGCATTGCTGGCATAACTGGTTTTTATGGTCCTACGACGCTTTTCTAGCCCTCGCGCTAACGCGCTCGGGCTCGAAATAGCGCCTCGGACCATAAAAACCTTATTATGCCCTTAATACATAAATAACTATTATGAAACAAAATTCATAATTTTTATAAATATTTTTAGGACTTTATATGCCTGCAGTTTGTCTAATAGCAGCTTCATTGATAATAAAAGCTTGTGCAAAATGGTGCAAACTCCAAGAAACACCAGAAAATGGTTTGTACGCTAAATTATAATTTTATACAATTTAATTTTTTTAATTACTTTAGAGAGTGGTAAAAAATCCTTGGCAAGAAAAGGTATGGACAACATAAACTTTGAAAGAATCATCACAATATTTCTTTTGGCTCACATAATAGGAATGCTGATAAAATACTCCCCCCAATATCTAATAAAAATCAGCGAGGAACACGATTTACCGGCCACTAAATTCGTTACGAACACTTTGTTCGCTTTTTGTGCCCTTTCATTCGCCGTCGTTTATTTGGTGTCTTTCAAAACTTGCAGTAACAGTATGACGGTTTTGAATATATTTGCGCTATTGGAGCTTGGTACTACTTTGATTTGCATTTCCATGAATAACTTTTCGCTTGGGATGTTCTGTGCCACTATATGGGCACCCATAGCCTTATTCATAAATCCAACATCTTGCAAGTAAGAACTTTGATGATGGATTGTGAAGAGGAAACTTATAATATTTCGTTTTAGATACTACAGTTACATGCAAAGAATCCTATGGTTATGTTTACATCCCCTTGCAATTTTAACCACTGTAGTCATGATAAATACTTACACAATGTTCAGAGGAGAAAAATTAGATGAAATATTTAGCAGAGGTCTAGGGGCTACAAACCAAGCAATTGTATTCAGTATTGTGGATTCCATGATTTATGGAAACTGGCTGTATACTTTTGTCACCAGTGTTCTATTACCAAACTGGCTTTGTTTTTGGTGTGTTTCATTTAGTGTGAGCAAGGATAATGAAAAGGAAGAAGCAAAGATTAAGAAGACAAATTAAAATTATTTGTGATTTTGTATGTTTTTTATAAAATATTTTATTTGTAATTTAATACGCCAGTCAGTATTTTAAATATAATACAAAAAATATAACCAAAGATTATAAATAAATTTATGCCTACACCTTACTAAAAATATTACTTAGATAAAAAAAATTCACTGAAAAGAAAATAGTATTTTTAATGTCATTAAATGAACTTTTTTCGAAATTTCAGTTTACTTTATTGCCATGGCAGTAAATTACTTTTACCGCTCTTAGATAAGACCAAAAATCTGTCATATGATATCTCTTCTTTTATTAATTCAATTTGAATTTCAATCAAGCCCTAAACATAAAGTAAATAGTGTTTTTAAAAATTTATATTTTCAGTGTGACGGTGTTAGGCTATGAAAATTTTGCAAATAATTTAATAATTATAAAAAAATTGACTATTTTTTTTTGTTTTCATTCCTACATTCAGTACATCATGCAATATTAAGAAATTTGCATTGAATACCTATCACAAATTATGTTATAAAATAGTTAATAGCTTTTAACTAGGTAGGTACCTAGTTAATATCCGAATAATTAATTATTGAGCCATTCCACGCGTAACGGATAGGACAGTTGCCGTGTTTTTATTTACAAAATAATATTGTTCTATTATATTACCAATGTCAAATTTTTATAAATAGTTTTAAGGAATTAAACAGTCAATCACGATACCTAATTTTGCCAAATAAAAACCTTGTTAAACAGCTTTTGTTTAGAACTATTTATAAAAATTTGACATTGGTAATATAATAGAACAATATTATTTTGTAAATAAAAACACGGCAACTGTCCTATCCGTTAAGCGTGGAATGGCCCTATTGTCATTTTTTTTTTTTTTTTTAATTCCTTACCTGTAAAGGTTATAAGTGATAGTTGTCAAAAACGGAACATATAAGCATACAGCACTTGTAGATAATACTTATTTATGAGTAAGTGTTAAAAGTGTTTTATTTTGTTCAGAGGGTTGGATCACTCCCTAAGCTTGTCATACAATTTTCTTTCTTTATCTTCGAATTCTATGTAAATGCCAAATATTTTAATTTTATGCAAGATGCTTTATATTTTGTCTTATTTTCTTAAATAATGTAGTCATCAGTCATGTCAATATGATGATTCAGTGGACAGATGTCAAAAATGACAACTGTCAAAAATAGGCTGTAACAGATGTGAAAATATTTAATTTACTAAATGGCAAATGACAGTTAATGGATATTTCATATTTTTGTTTCATATGGCCTATTAATTGAACATTTTCACATTTAGATGTGAAATATAACAGCTGTTATAGCCTATTTTTGACAGTTGTCATTTTTTACATCTGTCAACTGAATCATCATATTGACATGTCTGATTACTACATTAAGAAATTATACAAAATATAAAGCATCTTGCAAAAAATAAAATGTTACAATTTCTCGGTAATTAATTATCGTAGAACCATCTTAATTAATGGTATAACCTTCAAAATTGAGATTTGTGGTTATCCTACACAAAATTTGACCACATGGAATGACCAATATTCAATACAGGGTGTTTCATAATATATGCGCAGGACTTCAGGATATGATAGCTCATCCAAAAAGATGAAAAAAGTCGCTATTAACTTATTCTCTAAAATGCACAATTTTCGAGATCACCCTGTATCTTGTATCCTTGAAATTTAAAAAAAAAATCGTTTTTTTCGAATATCTCCGGAACCGTTTATCGTACAAAAAACAGCTTTTGTAAGCATTTTCTACTCATAATAAGCTATGTTTTGTCAGAAAAAAATTTTTTTTACTCATAATTGAAGGGGTTGTGGGTGTTTTTCTCCGCAACTTCTACGCCCCTGAAAAAAGTACGGTTTTGAGAGGCCCATTCGAACCGCCAATGTTTTCTACACAATAAAGGTACTCTTGGACATAAGCTCTAAAGTTGACCGTTTTCGAGAAAAATCAACTTTTATGTTGAAATGTGCGAAATGCATTACCTTTATGGTTTGGAGAATTTTGCAGACAACTTTTGAATCATTTTTTTTTTAATTTTGCAATTATCGTTTGGTTTTGTTACTTGTTCTAGCGTTAAAATAAATTTTGTTCAATTAAAAAAATTTCAAAATTTTCAAAAAATTGACCATGTATTTAAACATAAAAGTTGATATATTATGAAACACCCTGTATATGATTTTTTATGTTAAAACTACCAATTATTAAGAAATCAATTTGTGAATTATGAAAATGGAATATATTTTATTTTGAATTATTGTGGCAGTTTTGAAATCTGAAAAAAGCGATTTTTTACATGTCTAGGTAGGGTGTTGGGGATAGTGGGTAAAAATAAGACAATATTTACAAAAAATGGCACATAGTATATTATGTACGTATTGTATATTACATATAGTTTGATAATCATTTTATTTTTAAGTCATAGTCTAGCTGTATAACCTAACTGAACTCTCATCACGCAATATTTCATTCATATATACTTTTTTTTATATACTTAAAAACACATCCGCTTTAAACGTTTATACAGGTTAGGGTAAGCTTTACAAATTGTCTAATCACTTAACGAGAGTACCAACAGGACAACATTTCTTAAAGGTCCCTCCCATTGGCCGCTGTCCCATTTCTACAAAAATATATAATATAAAATGCGTACAACACTTTTACAGAATTCGTAGGGGACAACGGGCGACCTTTAAAAAAATTAACACAACTTCGTCCCGAGGAAATCATATTTGCACCAATACTGGAAATTCTTAAGGAAAACGTAAAATCGTAAAAATGGCTGCCAATACATAATTAAGCTATAAATTTACCCTAAACTAAACAAAAACTGTCAGGCGTAGTCACAAGGGACCCAACAAGTTTTGTTACATTAAGTATCATTAAAAACTGTTTAGGTTCACTTACAGCAAAACTATATAAATATCTAAATAATTTAGTGCCAAAAATGGTCAGTGCTTAATTTTATGCTGCCAATTGATAAAATAATAAAAATTAAAGAATGGCTGCCACTGGAATCCATCAAACTAACACTGGTATTTAATTAAGTTATTTTTAAGTTAAAAATATACTATGCAGTTAAAAATATTGCAAGTAAAAAAACTTATAAAACTGATAAATTTTCAGGATACAACAAAATAATACTTAACTATTTCAACTGTATTCATAGATTATTTGAATAAATCGAAAGGTCCAACAACATATTGCTAAATTAAGTAAGTTTATTAAAAAAAATCCTCATTCTTTAGTAAATTACAAATACTACTGATAAAACCCAGTTAAAATTTGTTTATGTCGTTTTTGTAATTTATTCAAATAAAATACCATTATTAATTTGTACATTTGGCCAATTGAAATAATTAAAAATATACTTAACAATCAAAACAATAATATAAATATAATTCACTAAAAAACTAAAGTAATAAACAGTGAGTTTATCTTAAAAAATCTACCTAAAAAGTTATGCTAAAATATATAAACTTAAAATTAAAATTGAACAAAATTTACTGAAATTATTGATCAAAAAATGTACTAAAATTAAAATGTTTACTTGTTATTAAAAATAATATGTAAAGAGAATTATTACACAAAGAAAATTTGAAATTTGATGCATTGGCATATGGCTCTTAAATGTTGATATTGCGTAGTGGTAAAAACAATTCAAGTGGCAAAATAATTAAGTGAAAAATATATACATAAGTAAAAGAATTGTTTTTCAAGATCTAACATTGGTTCAAATATTAAACCAAAAATATTGTCGCTTATAAACTGATTTGATGTATTTTTAAGACGGAAAACTACGTATTTACAATATATTTGGAGAAACTTCAAATTTTATATACAACTACTTTAAAATCTAAAAAATAAAAAGCTTGCGCAAAATCCATATAAAATAAATGTCAGGCAACTTTAAATAAACCAAAATGTTTCATTAATAAATTCTAGAAGAGCTAGGATTTATTATTAAGATTTTCCTATTTATGTAGCTTAAATATGTAATATTATTTGAAGTTGCCTGATTGGTTAAAAAATCAGTTTATAAACAAATAAAAAAGTAAAACTAACCTGCACTCGCATAATTAAAAAAAAAATATATAAAAAAAGATTTGCGAATACTGGCGCGTTATTCTCGCACTTACTTTAACTATCGTTATATGCAGTTTGAGATACAAAATAACTTGTTACACACTATCACATCATTATTAAGTTCATTGTTCAAGTCAAATTGTTATTTAATGGCACAATTTATATAGTAAAAAAGTAAATACCACTAAAACAAAATATGTCACTTAAAAAAATGGCAAATAAAAATAGAGATCAAAAGTTAATACGGAAGTCGATCCGGACGATATCGATAAAAGTATTTATTCAGTGAATGCGAATTTGGCACACGAAATTGATCAACAAACGCATCTCAAACCGCATATAATTTAATCGATTAAGGTATATTAAGTAAAAATATAAATTAAAAAAATAAAATAAATGTATAAAGCTGTCATTTAAACTGTCATATTAAAAAATGATTACAAGAACTCTGCGAATACAGTGTTCTTGAATGTGTGGAGAGAGAAAGAAACAAAATGTAAAAACCGATAGTGACAATAATATAATAATTTTATCACTACATAATATTCTTAAAAAAATATAATATAGTTTATGCATGGATGATGCAATTATGATGAACATGACAATGGTTTTTTGTACGAGTGTATGTACAGGTAGCTGTGATGATGCCTCAGCAGCCGCCGCCATCTTACTGGCAATGCTATTGGGGCGGCAGGCCCGGATTATGCCCCATATTGCTTGGGGCACCCTAAAACAAAAAAACTCAGTCAATTCCAGAGGAATTTTTTAGTTAGTTAATTGAAAGACAATGTTTTAGTTTGACCCTGTACAAAATTTCCTAACTTTTCCGGATTCGATTATATGCAATGTAACATCACATTTGGTCACTAAAAAATTTTACATTTAAATGTATATACAAAGTTTTATCGTCAAATTAATAGTAAAAATGATTCTTCGAATCATACACCATAACAAAATTCTCCAATATTGATATAAATATTGTTTGGTCATTTTTTTTACTCGAATATTTGTTTCGGAAGTGTCGAGAAAAATCGAAAGGCAGAGTTATCACTTTAATTTTTTTGAGATTTTTTGATGATGCAGATGTATTTTAACAAAATGTTATAAAAAGTTAAAAAAAACAATCACAAAAAGCTAAAATTTAAGTATCAGCAATCTAGAATCAATCCTAATAAGCTTTGACTTTAAAAAATGGTTCTAAAAATTTTGTTGAATTTTTATACATCAAAATTTATAATGTAAAAGTTATCCCTTTAATTTTTTTGAGATTTTTTGATGCTGCAGATTTATTTTAACAAAATGTTAAAAAAAACAATCAAAAAAGGTAAAATTGAAATATCAGCAATATAGAATCATTCCTAATAAGCTTTGACTTAAAAAAAATTGTTCTAAAAATTTCGTTGATTTCATACATCAAAATTTATAATGTATTACATTATAAATTTTGATGTATGAAATCAACGAAATTTTTAGAACAATTTTTAAACGAATATATGCGAATGTCAACATTTTAAACTTGTACAAAAAAATATTTAAGATTTATTTATTTGATTCCAAAGGGTTTATGTAATTAATGATTAATTATTAAACTCATTAATTAATTATTAATCTCAAAAAAAAACTGTCCAAACAACATTTGCTAGAATTTTTGCGAATACAAATCTCAAAAAATCATTCGAATATTCGTTATGTGGGTCCTTGTTACGCCCCTCAAAATGGTTCCAAATGATGAATTCGCTTATAACAGCCGTATTTTTTATTTTATCAAAAAAACACACAACAGAACAATTTTGACAAAAAAAATTAGTTCTACAAATATAATATATAGATGACTTTTTGCCAAAGTATCGCAAGCAACATAACCAAAATTTCAGAAATTGAAAACATTTTTTGTTTTGAAGTCTGTTTTAAATTAAATATAGCCTATAGGTTTTATAACATGTAAATAGCTTATAATTATAGTTATTTACCTGTTATAAAACGGTTATATATACAGTAGTTTAAAATAGACTTTAAAACAAAAAATGTTTTCAATTCCCCAAATTTGAGATATGTTGCTTGCGATACTTTGGCAGAAAGTCATCGATATTTGATATGTTTTAATACTTTGTACATTTAATGAGTAATAAGTTATTTTACTTATTACTAATAACCAATTATTAAAAAAAGGTCCTAAAGTAAGTAAACCATTGCTCAGATGAAAAAAAATGTACAACAGTTCTAGGTCAATTGACAAAAAATATTCGATTGTAAAAAAATGCACCCCCTTTTTCTTAAATATTATTACTTATTAAATATGCATAATATTAAAAAATATCAAGTATACAAATTTGTAGAACTAATTTTTCTTGTCAAAAATGGTATCAGGTATTATTCGCGAGTTCACATACAGTGTAAAGCTGCCAAAGTAAGAGTTTTTTTGACTGTTTTTTTTAAGTAAAAATTTTTTTAAACTTTTTGACTTTTGGTAACTAAAAAGGGACGAAAACGGGACAAATGACAGAAAGACACTTTTATTTATATGTATAGATGACCCCTTCCTTTTTTCTTAGAACCATGGAGCAAAGCCCTGGTATTCAGCTAGTGTTTAAATTAAAAAAAAAATATCAAAACTATTTATGTCAATTCTGTAGCATTTGTTTCTATTAAAATGCCACAAATTTTTTGTTTTACATTGAATTTTAAGACTAGTGGATTTTTAGTGATACAAATTCTGACTCTTTGTAAAATTTGATTGGTTGTTTGGCCGATTTTCTTCTTTTGCATCACATAAAAAATACTAAAACTATTATTTCTAAAATCGTTTGAAATTTGAAAATATATTAAAAAAGTCTGAATTGAAAAATGAATGCGCAATTTAGATAATTAAAAATTTAATTGCTTAATTTATATTTTTATTATTTACTTTTTTCCTTATGTTTTTTAAAAAAGTGACCTGTTTACATTGAGACAAAAATTTACGGTAAAGTGTTAAGTTGAAAACTTTAGTTTTTAATCAGCCAAACGATTTTTCAAACTTTTAATTTAATTAATTTAATTCTTAATAATAAATATAAAGTTGACTTACGGGTATTGTGGCATAGTGTTGCGCAGAGAGCATGTGATGTGGTCCAGGTCCGATTTTGGGTCCGTCTTCCGCTTTTTCTTCTTCCCGTCGTTTTAAACACGCGGCTTTCGGATTTAAATTTCTTTCTGTAACATCGCACGTTTTAGCAATTTTGAAAACTTTGACACTCGAAAAACTACAAACCTCTAACTTGCTGCTCCAAGGTCATGATAACTTCCACAGCCATGTTTAAGATGCCCAATTTCGTTTGCGGCTTGTCTGTTTTCAGGTGCGTCATGCACATTCTGCCCAATTCCTTCAGGGCCTCGTTTATATCGCGAATACGTATCCTAGAAAAATACGCAAAATGCCAATAGGGATCCTAAACTACTTTTAGGTTTTTAGAATTTTTAAATTTTATTAATTGATTTGTCACAATGCATTTTTAGTTTATATACCAAGTTAAAAACATTTTCAGGCAACACGAAATAATTTGGAACAAACCATTTGGTACTTATAAAAAACTGTATTTTTGTGTTTGTTTAACTACATTTTTAACTACTATCATTTTATTGATACTGGGATTCTATTATTTATAAAAGAAAATGTTATGCATATCCAAAACTTTACTTTTAAAGTGATTAATTTTATGAAAATATTTATTTTTCTCTCAAATATTTGTTGTACTCAAAATTTTAAAAAATGTTTGTCCAATAAATTTTAACTGTATTTTTGAAGTTAATTTAACTTCTAACTAATAAATTTGTTTAGTTATTTGAGAAAATACTATTTTATCAACATTAAATACTTTTGGATTAATATTTTTTTATTATGTAATTTTTAAGGTAGTATCTCAATTTAAAGATTGTCTTCAAAATTTATTATATGATTATTTTGTGAGGCATCAGATACATTTACAAATAATTTTAGATTTTTTTATAGCACAGATTTCAAGAAAATAATTTTTAAAATTTGTTTTTATATGCACATATTTACTCAAGAGATTTACATAAAAAATAAACTAAATAAACAATGTTTAGGCTATTATAGTATAATACTCTAAAGAAGTATCGGGGTTTCGCAACGCGCGCGCCATCTGGTGGACTTAGAATGCATTGCGTGAATTTAAAAATTGTCAACAATAAATTTAAAGCACAGATTATACATAATTTTTAAATAAATAGGTAGTTTTTTTACAAAGAGAGGAAGGCAGAAGTCTTACTCGACAAATTTTGTTCAATTGCACAGCTAAATCGCGCACGTTATTTGTGTTTACGTTGCAAGGAAAAAATTAAAAAACTTAGTACTCGATTTCGATTGAATATTCCTTATATAAATATCATTGATTAAGAAACTCAACGCTTAAATGCATATATAGTTACGTTAGTGTGTGTATTTTATCAAAGGGATAATGGTGAATTATTGTGTTTTTAATTGTAAATAAAATTCAAGAACTAAATCTTTGCATTTTCATGTTTTGCCAAAGGATCCAATTCGGTAAGTACATTTGTTGGTGCAGAATTAACTAATGATAACTTTACCTAATATAATTTATATTTAAGTTTGGACATTTTTATGAAATTAGTAAAAAATAACTTTTGCAGAAACATAACCTTAAAATCAGTTCTCTAAAAAACGCCGACAACTGCATTTTAAACAACAAAATATACCTACGAATTCATGGCAACATAATATTATATATAATATAATGGTATTTTACCGTTGAGTGGAGACTATTTTTACTGAATTGAAATGTTTACACTTTTCACGTTAATCAGCACTAAAATGTGTATTTATTGTATCTAATAGGTACAATTTATATTTACAGAGACTTTATGCAATTTTTTTCTTCATTCAGATTAACTCTGTTTATTGGAAAACCGGTAAAAACTCAACTCAGGATTTCCTCTCGAAATACGTCCAACAACACAACAAATCGAGCCACGGTATTTTTTTCGATATATTTTAACATTTTCCGGCTTTATTCTCAAAAACACTCATTTGTAACATAAGCGTTTGACAGCTGATTATTAAGTTATACTTTTGTTACGATGATAACAACCGAGTGGTGGCGCTACTAGCGATACTTCTTTAGCGTATTAACATGATCCTATTTTTTTCTCGAGTTTGAAAACGAACGAAAACGAAAAATCTATGGGAATTCTGTGAGAAATAACACTTTTCTGCACAAGTGTTATTTTCCATAAATTCTTAAATAAATTCGTTTTTAAACTCAAACCAAAGAGGATTAATTAATTATGGTGATGGCTTAAAAATTAATACAGTGTTTTTTATGGGAATCTCAAAAAAACTTTTTCAGCACTTTTAAAAATGTTATTTCAAATTTGGTTCTGCCATCTTATGAAACACAAAAATATGACAGTTTTAATTTTGTCTTAATTTTGCCATTGTAGCCATTATAGCAACAAATTAACAATTTAAATTGTTACTTCTTTACTTTTAATGTTGTTTTTAGTTTTTAATGATACTTTAATTTGTAGTAAAGTATTAATTAGTTAATTAAAATACAACGTTTTATTTTGACTACATTGAAACTGCTGAATTTGCTGTCACAGCATACTGTTTTATATTTATTAAACTTTTTAAATGGAGAAACTACATAACATTTTTCATTGTAATTTAAACCGCTAACCGATTATGAAATAAATAAGCCTGCTTTTTCCCGACTGAAACTTAAAAACCTTTAAACAAGATTTATTAAAATAGGTATTAACTAACAAATCAATTACAAAAATTTTAAAATTCCATAAATCCCATTTAATTCCCTACATATTCCAAATACCAATTGAATTAAGAAGCGAAACACATGTATGAATATAGGCCACACCACAGTAGGTGCATTTTTATATAAAAAATATTAAAACAAATTAAAAAATATAATGGGCGCACCTCTCTCTAGCATTATTAGCTTGCCGCCTTTCTTTTTCCCTTTGTGCTTTAATATCTGGATCTAGCTCGCCATCTTCCGTTTCCTCTGCACTAGAACAACTATAAACTGCCTTAGTATGGATTTTTTTTTCGTTTTTTCAAAAACGAATGCAGATCTTAATGAAATTGACCCCCAATTGTTGCGATCAAATGACAAACTAGAACTCTGTTTTGTTGTATGTAACTACACACACGTTTTAGGGTAAAGAAGGGAGTAATAATTTTATTACTTGGCAAAATAATGTTGAGGTATTTTTTACAGTATGTCCATGGAGAAAAAAATATTTTACATTTTTTAGAAAATGTCATTCTTGATCAAAGTTTTTGCTTTATTTAAAACCCCCAGAATATGCGACACATCATGTTTGTTTAGTTTTCGTTCTTTATCGCCAAAAATACATTTTTCATCGCGATTTTATGCATTTTTTTCATAAGTAAAAATTAATGAAAAAGACAAATAAACGAAAACCGACCGAAAATAAAAAAAAATTCAGTCCAAAATTTTTAGAAGATACAAATTTGCAAATCAACACTCAATTTTTGCATATTCTAAGGGTTTTGTCAGAAATGAAATTTTACTAGAAATGAAAAATATTGTTTTCCTCTGTGGACACTGCATATATATAATAGGACAATGTGTTTTTTGACAAAATAAAAACAATGTTTTGTTTATATAAGGCCCATATTCAAAATGCGTTTCTGCAAAAAATACAAAACATTAGTTAAAACAAACAGTTACACCAATAAAAGAAATACTACTGCATGCTGGCCAAATTCGAATAAACAAAAGTTACGCTTAACCTTATCCATTTTATGTTTACTAACACAATATCTTGCATAATTTAATAAAATTTCATAACAGTCCTCATAATCAATTTAAATATTTCCGATAATTAGGTAATCTAAATATTGCCTATTGAACTGTTATGAAAAAATATTTATGTTATTGTTAAGATAATAAATTAATTTTATAATAGGTAAAATAAGAAAACTTAAAATGAATAATGTTTACGATAAAATCTAAATCATAACGCAACTATTGTAATCTGAATATGGGCCTCTTAAATTAGAAATAATACTAATAATTTTGGGGGAAATATAGGATGTTTATATATTTGAATTATTTATTAGTAAGGTAGTAAATGTTTGATGTATACAAAAAAAAAATACAAGGTATCCAGAAACTGAACAGGCAAAAGCAAATTCTAAGTATGTATGTAGATCATTAGTTTCTGTAGAGCCCAAGCATTTAAAACTACATATTTTACATCAAAAACCATTGGGAGTAGGGTTTTAAAATTTCAGGAAAAATTGAGCCGAGAAAAAATCGAAAAAATTGAGAAATTTTGAGAAAAATTGACTTATTTATTTTTTAAATTTTATTCAAAGGGTAATACGAAAAAATGCAAAATTTCCAAATTTTTACGGATGATATCCATACACTGATTTTTTCAAAAAAGTGAATTTCCGACGGTAATTAAAATCAGAGCTGGAAAAGTTACTTCTGAAAAGTATCTACTTTTCCAAGATACTTTAAACAAAATAACTAACGTTACCTAAGGTAACTAGAGACTTTTAGTTAAAAGTATCTGTAATTACAAGATACTTTAGAAAGTATCTAAGATACTATCCGAAAGTCTCTAAGATCTATATGAAAGTATCTAAGGTACTTTTGAGTAATTAAGAAACTTTTAAGTAACTAAGATACTTTTGAGTAACTAAGTTACTTTTAAGTATGAATAAAAACTATAAAATTATGAAAATTGTAGAAGTTGTAGGTTAGGTAATTATTTTCATCTTGAGATCCTCCAAATTTCTCTAAGAAAGTATCTAAGTTACTTTAAAAAGAATCTTAGTATCTAGTTACTTTAAAAAGTATCTTAGTTACTTTAAAGTTACTTGAATGTGTCTTAGTTACTTGAATGTGTCTTAGTTACTTTACTGAGTAACTTAGATACTTTTTTAGATAGAAGTTACAAGATACTTATCCAAAGTAATCAAGTTAAAGATACTTTAAGTATCTAATTTACTTTTAAGTATCTTTTTTTTCAAGATACTCCCAGCTCTGATTATAATAATATTATTATGATTATTATAATTATTCCTTTTATTTTAATTTAGTAAGAATATTATACCGGGCCGCAAAAAAAAACATATTTTGTGCTGTAATAACATAACTTTTATTTAACACTTAGATTTATGAAAGTATAATTTTGTAATTTACCTACAAAAATCATTCAATATTTTGTAGTTAGATATTTTTAATGAACTCCTTTTTGCAAAAAAAACCGACAGTATATTTCACGTTTACGTTTATTTTTTGTAAATCAATTTAATTCAATGTTTAGTTTTATTTTTTTTGTAATAAAGAATTTTTTAAATTAAAATTACGTTAAATGAGTATACTTTCCAAAATAAATTAAATTTTTCTCAAAAAAATCCAACTTTTTCAAGGCCTGGGAAAAAACTGTTTTTTCCCCAATTTTTCCGGTTTTTTTCCGACACTTTAAAACCCTAATTAGGGATATTATTTAATCAATAAATTGTAATTTACAAAATGGTTTATGAAAAAGGGTATGAATAGTTTTCTAATAGGAAATGTTTCTGGAGCCAGGCCGTGCGCAGAATTTTCTAATTAAATTGTTAAACACAAGCTGGAATATTTTTTTCGTGGTCACCCAAAAACTTACTTTTTCGTAAAGAATAGAATATTGCGCAAATTTAAAGGTATATCCAAGGCTGCTTGACTCATTTATTCAAAAGATACGGTCGTAAAGGTCAAGAAGAAAATCTAACGAAAACCTTATTTTCGTCCCTACCAGATAACCCCAATTTCCCCCCCCCAATATTGTAGAAAATTCAATAACTAACATTTTGATATATTTAGACTAGAAAAATTGTTTAATCTTCACGTTTATTTTCGCATTTACAAAAATTGACAAAAATTATTTTTTAAGTTGTTCCAACTCATGTTAATTAATAATTTATACATCTTTTTATTCACCATCTATTAGAAGTGTATCATATGTGGTGAACAGGCAAAAATATAATTTTTGACAATTATGCTATTTTTGTTGTAAAAGCATTTAAAAAAATCGATTCCAATATATCAACATGTTTGTTATAAAATTTCATACAACATTTGGGGTTATCCCGTACGGTTGTATTGATTTTTGACGTTGACGTTCGACATTGTTGACGAAAATGAGGTTTTCGTTAGATTTGCTTCTTAACCTTTTCAACCATATCTTTTAAATAAATAAGTCAAACAGCCTTGGATATGGTTAAAAATTTGCCCAATATTCTATTCTTCAAGACAAAGTAAGAATTGTTTATATCTCTTGTATTGGTGTCGATAATTCGAACTGATCAGTTTGAATGATAACAAAACCAAGCGATTTTTTTAAATTTCATCAAAAAACTGGCTATAAGCAAAAAAATTCTTTGCTTTTCTTCGCATTTTTCGAAGTTTTTGGGTGCTCTGAACACGAAAAACAATATCGCAGCCCTGTTGAAAAATACTTGTAAGACAGTGTTATTGTTGCAGAAGAAACAAACTGTTTATTTTATGTATAAAAAAATTGATTATGAAATTTTATTATGAAAATTGCAAACATAATTTACATTATAATAATAACAATAGATGTTTCTGAAGTTTGCAGTACTTAATTGATGGTTGTTTACTTGTTTGTTTTAGTGGTTATTGGTTTTGTTTTAACAGTTACGATTTTCCTTGGGTAAATTTTGAGTAGTATAATATTTGTTTTATTTTAAGACTTTTAATGGGGGGTTGTGCACGGGCCTGTCTGGAGCATTTTGATGTGATTTTTTTTTACATATTGTTAGTGTATTTTTTAGTGTGTGTGTGTTTACATACCGTTCACGAACATTGTTGGCCTGTCTACGCTCTTTTTCGCGTACGGCCTTGTTGGATGGGTCATCAATTTCATCATCATCGGCATTACTTGAACAACTAACATAACATCGTGTCAATTACAGATTTAAAAACGCACAACATTTAACAACAATGGGTAGTAAAAAGGACCACAAAATATTTTTTTATTTTTAAATTTAAAAGCTAAATTAAAGAAATCATTTCTAGGGTTCCCAAAAATTACCGTGGTTCAAATATAATATAATTTTAATTTTTTTAAACAATTAATTTAACTTTTAAATCAATGGCATAATTGTTAGAATGTCCCCTGCTTATAATGCTGTTGTACATTGAATTTGCAAGCATTTATTGTAAAATATTGCACGTCATAAATAAACAAGTTTTGAAATAAAATTAAATATTTTAATAATATTAATAATAATAATAATTTTCGACTTACTATCTCCTAGAGCGTTTTGACTGTTTCGGTGGAGGTCCGCTGGTTGAATTTGGTTGTACTATACTTTCTACTGAACTAGATGGTTTCGTATCACTATCTGGCGGTTCCTTGCGTTTTTCTGAAATATAATCAACTACTATGAAATAGTTGAAGCACAAGCAAACAAACAACTAAACATTAAATATTAATTTTGAATTAATACTTTAATTTAATTAAGGTTACTATACTAATACTAGGAACTAAAACCAAAACATACGAAAATAATATTACAGAAAGATATCAAATAAAATTTCACTCTGCAGTCTCAAGTAAGACGTTGGTAAGGTAAATTATTTTTATTTATATGTTTATATTGATAACAACTAGTATATTCTGTCAATAATTAATATGAATAATTAGAAAATGGAGGACTTCTGAAACTAGATCCCATTCAAAGTGAATAATATTTAACATTTTTCAAAATATCTTATTTTTAATAAAAAACATTTTTGGTCAGTTTTTGTTAATTTGTCATTTTCTCTCCAACAAATAAATGTTCACAATTATCACGGTAGGTAGAAATCTTTAGAGAATTATCCACAGGTGTCATTAATTTTTACTTATGAAGAATGCATAAAACTGGTATTTTGACGATAAATTAAAAAGTAAAAGCTTTGAATGATTACTTTTAAAATAATGCGTCGAAAATTCTGGGGGTTTTATCAAGCCAAAACTTTTATCAAGAGCAAAATGAAAATCATTTTTTTGTTCTGTTTGTATTTTATTGAATATTGTAATTAAAATTGTAATATTCAATGCAAATTTTTTAATATTACATAATTTATTAAATGTAGCAACGAATATAATTTATTGTCAATTTTTTGTTAAAATTCTCTTTTTGTATTTTTAATAAATTATTTCCAAATTTTCGTGAAAAAAATTAAAGAATTATATATATTAGAAAAATTTTTTCGAAAAAATTCAATTTTTTTCGCTTGATTGTATTATAATTATTCAATGACAAAAAAAGGATTTTAAACATTTCATACAGTTTTATAATGGTTTAAGACCATTTTTTGACATTTTAATATTTTTTTCTACTCCCACCTTTAAAACGTCCATTATCGTACATATGTTTCTATGAAACTAATTGACAAAATTGACTCATTGACAAGTTGTGGCTTTATAGCGTTTTAGTTTCTTTTTTAGAAAAAATTGTGAAATTTCCATTATTTTAAATTTTTGGTAAAATTGATTTTTGCCTTTATTCTCGTATTTTTTTCCGAGCCTTTACAACATCACAAGCATTTTAAATGGAAAAATTGAATTTTTCATTATCCCTAATATGGGTGTTACGGATAATACGGGAAAAATGCAAAATTCAATTTTATCTGCAAATTTAAAATGATTGTGGTTTTAAAGGCTCGAAAAAAAATTACTTGCATTTTTTTCGTATGATCCATGCCTTTAAAACATTTTAAATGGACACATTGAATTTTGAATTATCTCTAATATGAATATGGTTATTATGGATAATACTGAAAAAATGCAAAATTCCATTTTCCCTGCAAATTTCAAATACCTGTGATGTTTTAAAGGCTCGAAAAAGAAGAGAAGTATTGTTTTTTTTTCTGGAAGGTGTGAAAATTTTTTTTTTCGGAAAAATTGGATTTAAAAAGTTAAGAACCAAATAAAAATATACACTGCACGTCAAAATTAAAGCATAATAAGTAAAAAAATTCTAACTCTAAAAGCCTTTACCAATCTTTATAAAATTTTGTATAAAAATAATTTAACTTACATCTCAGTTTACACGTTCAAGGGTTTTTCGAGAAAATATTAATAATAAAAAAACGTTCGAAAAATAACGTTTAGGGATTTTTTTAATAATTAAAAAATATGCTGCTAAAGACGGTATTTTGTTAGTATACCGTGAAAACTTTGTACATCAAACTAACAGTAACGAAGATAAATCGCTTCAAAGACGGTAAAAACGACCCCTTTTTGATTATTTCGCTGAAAAGTGGTCATTTTTGACAACTTTGAATCGCTGTATTTTCGTTACGTTCGTTTGATTTGTACAACTTTGTCAGGGTATACTAACAAAAATACGTTTTTTTACAGCTAATTTTTTTAATTACTTCAAATAAAATTCACTATAAAAGTTTTTTTTTGAGGGTTTTTTATTATTAAATAAGGGGCTTTAAGTTAAAATATTTTTATCCAAAATTTTATAAAGATTGGTAAAGGCGTTTTACAGTTGGATTTTTTTACTTGCTATGCGTTAATTTTGACGCGCAGTGTAGTATTTATTTGTAAATAAAATAAAAAATGCTCCTTTGATTAAAATATGTGTATTTTTAAAATGTACACTGAAAAAAATTTACGAAATTTTACACATCCAAACACACATTTATTTCTGTTTTTTTACTTAAGAAATGTGTTGTTCCATATAAAACATGTACACACATACTTACTTAAGTAAAATAGCATCAATTTATGTATTTTTTTAAATTAATATGTAGTTTTTCATATTATTATGTAATAAATCCTTAAATTTATGTGCTTTTACAATTTTTAATGTACTTGTACTATTATTTTCCTAAATTTTAGATTTACATGACCTTTGCATTTTTACACATTATATGTAGTTTTACAGTATGTTTGTACATATACATTTAAATACGTGGCATCAAAATAACCAACGATCAGATGTGTAAATTTACTAAATATTTTTTTGAGTGTATGACGATTTGGAAATTTTTTCTAATATTTTAAATTTTCAGAAAAATTGATATTTGCCTTTGTTCTTCATGCCTTTAAAACATCACAAGCATTTTAAATGAAAAAAATTGAATTTTGCATTATCTCTAATATGGTTAATAATTATTAGGGATAATACAGAAAAAATGCAAAATTCAATTTTATCTGCAAATTTTAAATGCCTGTGATGTTTTAAAGGCTCGAAAAAGAAGAGAAGAGAAGTATTATGTTTTTTTTTCTAGAAGGTGTGGAAATTTTTTTTTCGGAAAAATTGGATTTAAAAATGTTATGAACCAAGTAAAAAAATTCTAGGATATTTTCTAGAAAAACCCTTGAATACGTAAACTGACATTTAAGTTAAAATATTTTTAACCAAAATTTTATAAAGATTGGTAAAGGCGTTTTACAGTTGGATTTTTTTTACTTGCTATGGGTTAATTTTGACGCGCAGTATAGTATTTATTTATAAATAACATGCTCCTTTTATTAAAATATGTGTATTTTTAAAATTTCCAACAATTTTTTTCCAAAAAAGATAATTTTTATAAAAACAAAAAAAACAGTTTTTTTGACGCTTTAAAGCGCCAGTTTTAAATATCAATTTTCACAGCTGTATCTAATAATATTTTTATTTTGTTGTCTCTTACTTGTGTTGTATGTGGGCCGTTCAACTTTGACTGGGTCGTTCAGATGCGGATCGGCCGCTGGCGGTGCCGAATAGCCGAGCTGCGTCATGTGCTGCTGCGGCAAATTGTTGGGTTGAAGCTGCCCTAAAATCAGCTGCTGTTCCGCGTGATTTCTCAATACGTTTATCGCGTCGTCCAGTCTTTCCTCCATACGAGTGCCCTACAACGATGGAATGTAAATTAACTTTGAAAACGGCAAAATGAAAAATGATATCGAAGCGTGATGGAGGTGTAGGTAATAAAATAAAAAAAAATTAAAATAAACTCACGTTCACTTCGGCGTGGTCCCTTAAAAAGCCAATAGCGTCATCTAAACGTTGCGCTTCAGGGGCAGGAGCCTTCACACAAAAAAAACAAAAACCATGCAAAACAAACTAATAAAAACGAAAAATATGCATACAGAAGAAAATTTGTTTTCTTTAAATTATATGAATTATTTACAATAGAAACGTAATAAAGTAAAACATCTTATCAATACACAATACTGTGTTTAAAATCTAAAATTACAACAATTTATATAAAAGTTCTATTTTATTACATTAAAAATAAAAAATATACATTTGCTGCTACTATTTTTTTTCAATGTATTTTGGCCGCTAATCTCGAAAATCACAATACTTTTTAGCAAGGTTTTCAAGATATGATTTTTTTTTTCATTTGTTTTTCGGTAGCTTTGGTCATATCTCGAGTTAGAAACGGCCAATTTGGTTGCAAATGTCACTCTCTTAATGCCCAATCAATGGACAAAAATAGGAATGTAATGTTACCTTTTGTTCAAGAAAGAATAAAAATTATTGAAATATGACCATATCCGAATAATCTACATAGAATACGAAGAAACTAAGATATTTACAAAAAAATCTATAAACAGTTATGACAGTTTATATAAGTAGCAAAACTCAACTTTTTCTTTATTTTTGGAATTTTACCTTATTAGTTTGTAAATTGTGGTAACATGCAATTAATTTACAATACATTTTGAGGAAATAGTTTTCTGTTGTTTATTTTTTAATTACTGAACTTTTCTTGTTCAAATTTTGAATTTTACAGTTTTATGTAGATGCTACCAATAGATTATTTTCTTATGTTGACAATACTGTTTCTGTTGTGTCAGATAACTCAGTATAGTAAATTTAATTTAATTTTGAGCACTTTAATTGAATATTTTAATGCATTTTAAACAACTTTAGTTGGCCGCAATTGCAATGTTGTCATGTTTAGATTAAAATTTTGCTTAATAAAATGACGCATAGAAAAAGAAATTGACGTTTTAGAATTTTGAAGCTGTCAGTTGTGTTTTTGAATATTTCGTTTAATTCGTGTATAATTTCGTTTATTTTGTTTGTTTGTTATTTTATATCGTTTAAGTTTTCATTGCCGGTTTTTTGTTTGTTATATGTTTTTTTTTGTTTTTTCTATATTTAAAATGCCGAATCATTTAAAAGTCGGAGTTAATACGCTATTTTGAGGCAGAACGGGATAATACCTTTAACAGCTGTTAGAGAGGTAAATAGGATTATTATTAATTATATATACCAAAGACTGACTTAAGATGGCTAAAAACATACTTTTGGCGGTGCATCATATAGGTTATAAAACTCTGACTTTTGACATTTTGGTATTCTAAGGTCCCAAATCTAGGGACCATATGGTATTATTCATGTAAACGCCATCTATCGCCCTGTAGTTGCACTACCACTTTCACTTGATGCAATGATTTTACCATCACATTGACAACCGTGCCCGATCAGCTGATTGATGACGTATACATCGTTTCCCTTTAAATTTACTATAGGTGAAACATTAAAATGTATCCACCCATTAACATTTTCATACGATTTTTGGACTTTTACCAATAGGATAGCTTAATGAATTGGATCCAAATATAATTTTCCACCATTAGTTTATCTAAAAAATCTCTGGAATCATGGAATCATTTCTTGGTAAAATCTTTCACCATGTTGTCCCTGGCTTTTTCAAAGAAAAAAGTTTACAATGAATGGATTTTTAGGGATATATTTACGGATGTTGGTCAAAGTAATAAAAGATATGTGACCAAAAATGTAATGTAAAAGAATAGAACAAATACCAATTTTTGCATAATTCCTCAGCCAATGTTTAATGATTATTAAATACAAAGATGAAAAGATAAGTTTTCATTGACATCAAACTCTGAAAATCATCATTTAAACAAAAAAAATCTCAGTAACAATAAAAACATTTTCCTTAAATTGGATTGTAAATTAATTGCATTAAACAACATTATATCCTACGAATAACGTAAAAGTCCAAAGATAAACAGAAAGTTTAATTTTTCTACTTGTACATAGTCGGTTATTGTTTTCTTCGCAAAAGTAGATATTTCCAAAATGGTCATATTTCGATTATTTTTATTCGTTCTTAAAAAAAATATTGTGATTTTAGAGTTTGTCCAAAATACATTAATAAAAACTTGGAAGAAACAATTAGAAAAAATTGTGTATTAATTATTGGATTATAGAATATGGTAAGTGCTTAACAATTACAGATCAAGCTTTACAACTTCAACATATTAATAAGATGTCTTAAATGCTCGATAATAGTCAAAATAAAAAATAAGTGCATTCAGCGAAATTCTCTTCAAAAAATTAAAAAAAAAATCAGTATAAGTTTTTGGATTCGTACCATGTGTAATCCCTGAGTGGCGGCGACGTTATTTACATTGACGGTCTGCGTGTAGTGGGGCGGCGAGTGGGGGTTGGTGTGCGGCGTGGTGAGCCATCCGGATGGCGCTAGAGGGGGCGGCGAGCTCACTGGTGGCGTCGACGGTGCTGAACTATAACTACTTGCGCTTGTCGGATATATCTAAAAAAAACCGCAAATATTATATCATTCTGGATTTATTTAAAAAATAGTTATTTATGTCATTAGGTTAAGAAGTAAGGCTTTTTGTGCTAAGCTCAAGGTTTGAAGGCCGACGCGTAGCGGAGGCCTACAATTGAGCGAAGCACAAAAAGGCACTTCTTAGCCGAATGGCATACAACATTTTATCTTCAAAGCACTTTATATAGGTCAATTTAATTCAACATTATTTTTTAGAATCTCATTTATTTATTAGCTAAAGATTAAATTAAATGTACAATAATTATTATTGCTTTTAGAAGCAGTAATAGTTTGACAATACCCAGCAACATGATTTAAGTAGAAATGGATTTTTGCTATTACATTGAATTCAATTAATTGTTTAATAAATAGGTAGGTATCTAATTTCAATTTGTTTAGATTTTTATTTAAAAAATAGGTAGTTTGGAATGTTTAAGCTGTGTTTAACATTTAATTTTACTGAAAACTTAAAGCAAATTAAAACTTAAAGATAATTTAAATCGTAGAAAAAGAATCGTGCGTTTTCTTGGTTGCCTAACCTCACTTTTTGTTTTATTATCCATATTTAATTTTACAATAATTAATTCTCCTCGCGGTCTATAATTTAAACTTTATTGTTGTCAACATTCGATAAAGAAATACCTTGTTATGGCCTAGGCCGATAAATATTTTTATGAGGCAAGTAATTAGTTCGATTTTTTCTCGCTAGGGGTATTGTTTTGACAAATTAATCCTTTTCTAAGAAATTAACGTAGTAAACTGGTTTAATTTATTTAAAATAAGCACTAATTTGTTTGTTTTATTATTATTATAATTATTGTAAAATTAAATATGAATAATAAAACAAAAAGGTTAGGCAACCAAGAAAACGCATGATTCTTTTTCTACGATTTAAATTATCTTTAAGTTTTAATTTGCTTTAAGTTTTCAGTGAAATTAAATGTTAAACACAGCTTAAACATTCCAAACTACCTATTTTTTAAATAAAAATCCAAACAAATTGAAATTAGATATCCATCTATTTATTAAACAATTAATTGAATTCAATGTAATAGCAAAAATCCATTTCTATTTAAATCATGTTGAAAGGTATTGTCAAACTATTACTGCTTCTAAAAGCAATAATAATTATTGTACATTTAATGTAATCTTTAGCTAAAAAATAAATGAGATTCTAAAAAAGTGAGGTTAGGCCGCTTTGATGTTGAATTAAATTGATCTATATAAAGTGCTTTGAAGATAAAATGTTGTATGCCATTCGGCCAAGAAGTGCCTTTTTGTGCTTCGCTCAAACCTTGAGCTTAGCACAAAAAGCCTTACTTCTTAACCTAATGACATAAATAACTATTAATACTTTATTAAATCACTTATCCATAACTACCAATACAAAAAGTATTAATACTGTAAATTGTTTTATACAGGGTGTTATGTAATTAATGTTATATATTAAAATACTGAATACCTTTTGACATAAGGAATAAAGGAAAAATATTAAAAAAAACATTTTTCCAAAGATAAAGAAAAAATATGCATTAGAAGTTTTTTATATTTTTTGTGATACGCCACTGGTTACACACTTGTTTATCTCTGCACACCTGTATTTTGTGAGTACATAGATACCAACCAACAAAGTAGCTATGCGTTGCCAGATGTAAAAAATTGTTACTAAAAATTTTTCTTGCAAAAAATAAATAAAAACTCAATAAATACAAAAGTTTTATGCCCTTAAAGCTCTAATACCCTTCTGTATTTATTTACTGATCCAGCTATTAGCTTAAGCAATGATTAGAAAATTTGAATTTGAAATTTGAAATCCATAACCACAAAATTAATTTTTTCATCAGTTTTTTTCTATGTTTACTCAGATGAAATTGGGACCAGTTCACAGGTTAAACTTTAAACATTTAATTTGTGTAAATAAATCCAAAAGCACTTCCCTTAGTTAAGATATTTACAATTTGAAAAAATAACCTAAAATTTAAAAGAAATTCACTAGATTCTGTCATAAAAGTTGGCAGATTTTGTTTGAATTTACCTTCAGTACAAAAATGAAATAACCAACAATTAATAAAAACGCCAAATTGACAATTTGCATTGTTAATTTTGTCATTTTTGTAATTAAGCTAAATTTAAACAATGCTTGGCAACTTTTTTGAAAGATTTTGGAAAAACTGTTGTTACCAACCATAACATAATAAATCCACCAGATAAACCTAAAGTTCCTAGTCGATCAGTGGCGTACTTTTTGGTAGGATAAAGGTTATTATAAATTATTTTTAGACTTTGGAATTTAGCAAAAAAAAGTTTCAGGTGCTTCTTTATGGACCCTAAGGAACAACCCATTTTAATATATAACATTAAATACATAACACCCTGTATAATTAAAAAAATATAAAGGTGTCTTACTGCTCCTAGGGCTTTGTTGACGACGGGATCGGCGTGGTTTGGCGGCGGTCCGAATTGCGGCTGCGCGTTGGGCGTGCCGTTCGGCCTCAACGAGGACATGGGCGGAAGTCCTTGCGGCAGCTCGCCGCCCGCCACTTCCTGTTCCGGCATCAGGCCGTACGCCTCGTACTGGCCGTAGGAGTTGCTGTAGCCGGCGGGCGTCCAGTCGCCCACCGACGCCGTCGGCACCGCGTCGCCGCCCATGTAGTAACCGCCGGTCGGGCCGCCGCCGCCCGGCACGCCGCCTCCGCCCGGCGACGTGTATCGAGGCGAGTCGTGGCCGAATTCATCTGAACCATACTGAAAAATTAAACAAAATTAGTTTGTTAATGGTATACCAATATACCTAATTATAATTAGGTTTGTAAAAAGTTATCTTACAGGGCTCCCACGGCAAAATTACAAATTTTATTTAGGAATTTAGGAGGTTTTTTTGTAAAATTTTAGGAGAAATAAAGTATGGAAATGAATTTCTTTAATTAAATAAAAACAACTCTATACCTACTACTTCAAAAATAAGAAAAAAATTAATACTTATTTTGTAAAAATAAGTTATATTAACTAGTTTTTTAGCCCAATCGCTCGACGAGTTTTTTTACTACTTTTGTATATATCTGAGGTACATATATATACAAGTATAAATTTCACCACACTTTTAATTTTATTTAAAAAAAAAGCGTCGATAGATTTGGTTTAAAAACTATGCCAAAATCATATGATGTTATATTTATATTTTAAGAAAAAATATGTTAACCGTTTAGTTAATAACTAACAATAATTAAATCGGTAAGATTAAGAATAGTACAAGTCCAAAAGTAAAATGTTTGATAAAATATTTCAAAAAATCAGTTTTATAGTTCTAAATGCATTTTTGTTAGACTATTTTATGAAATATAATATTCATATTCTGTAAAATAATTTTTATCTTCTCACAAAAATGTATTTTAAACTTTAAAATTGATTTTAGAAAATAAATTGTCAAAATTAAATTTTTGGACTTGTACTGTTCTTATTCTCACCGATTCAATTGTAATGTTTATCTTAATACTTAAATCTCATAACAAAATATGAAGTTTGCAAAATACAGCAAAACATTTTTTAGATTGTTTACTATTTTAGCTGTCATTTAAAAGAAATTTAAAAATCCTTTTGTATAACACGGTATATTTTTGAGTAAAAAACGAAATATCGTTGTTATTTTTTAAGAAAAATTTTGGTTGTGATATTATATCATTTTAAAAAGAGTTTAATAGAATAGAACCTAAAAATATATATTTTTAAATTACTTTTTAAAACAGAATTTTTTTAGCACTACCTTAATTAAACGCAAGTCAGGTTGGAATATTAAAATTTAATTTTTAGGATTTTAGGAGTTTTAGGAGATTGATTGCCATTTTAGGAAAATTTTAGGAGTTTTCAAGATTTAAGTTAAATTTTAGGAATTTTATGAGTTTTGGGAGCCCTGATCTTATTATTTAAAGCCATTATTTGCAAAACTCTCTCTTTGCTAGTTGGTTTACTTTTCAGGAGCAACAAAAACTTTTTAGCTAAAATCCAATGGTTATTTATGTATCAAGGCAGTTAAGTCGTATTTTAAAAAATGACTTTAATGCCGAGGTGCATATTAAATTTTATCCGAAATCACATTTAATAATACTAATAATTAATATTGATGATTAAATCAAATGTCATTTGAATGTAGGAAGTGTCTACGTATACTGTTTGTTGTGTCGGTTATTATATATTTACCCGCCGCGGCGATTTTTTAATCTAATTAATAAAATTAACTTATTATTTTTATTAAACATTTATTTATGAAAGGCTCCAATCGACCTCCGCGACGGTGCCTTATTTTAAATTATTTAATTGCTGCTGAGGAGCAGTACATCTTAAAATGTATAATGGGTTGCATACAATACTCGTATTAAAGCGGCAGTAAAGTTCTACTTTACTGCCGATTTCTTTTACTTTCCTGCCGATTGTTGACTACTTTACTGCCGATTTTGGTTTAATTTTTTTTCCAATACATTAATAGGCATGACTAATAATATGATAATCGTAAATATGAAACTCCTATAGTTTTTCAGAAAACAAAATTATTTCTGCAAATAGAGATAAACACACTGAAGTTAAACGTTAATTTATTAATCAACTTTTAACATTAAAAAGATTTTTGGAACACAAACAAAAATGATTGTGTAAAAGAAAAAAACTTAAATTATTTTAGTGTTGTTTACGTTTTAACACACGTCTTGATCATCTTCACTTTTAGCAGCTCGATCTTGAATAATTTTGTAAAATGCCAATTCTGGTAGTTCTATCCAATCTTCGCCATAATGTTTAACCAGTAAACCAATAATGGAAGTTTTATCCCCTTTAAGTTTCTTGCACGGAAAAAAATAATCGGTAGACTCTACCGAAAAAATCGGTAGACTCTACCGAAAAAATCGGTAGTCTCTACCGAAAAAAAATCGGTTTCCTCAACCGATTTTTATCGGTAGCAGCTACCGATTATTTTCGGTAGAGTCTACCGATTTTTTCGGTGCAGGCTACCGAAAAAATCGATTAACAATTTTTGAAAATTTTTGTATTTTTTTAGCGAGAAGTTAAATACTCGCTTTTTATTAAATAGAAATAGTATTTTTTTTTTGAGGTATAAATAAATTTGAAATACAAAAATATTAAAAATGAGGAGTAATTTTTATTAAATTTTTCTAAAAAATTATATTTACTTTTAATAAATAAACTTTCTTTTAAATAGATGATAAACAAAACCCATTTCTTTGAATAGCATTTTTTAATATTTACAATGAATACCATCTCAAAATGTTTGACTGAAAAGAGTAATTTTTATTAACTTGAATAATGTTTAATATTATTTTTAAATGTTAATATTTTTAAGTATTAATATTTTTTTTTTCTAACAGCGCATCGATGTGGAATTTCTCGGTTACGGTTACCGAAAAAATCGGTAGACTCTACCGAAAAAATCGGTAGACTCTACCGAAAAATAATCGGTAGCTACTACCGATAAAAATCGGTTGAGGGAACCGATTTTTTTTCGGTAGAGACTACCGATTTTTTCGGGAGAGTCTACCGATTTTTTCGGTAGAGTCTACCGATTGGCAATCGGTAGCTGCTACCGATTGCCAATCGGTAGCCTCTACCGATTATTTTTTTCCGTGTGCTTAGCGGCACTTCCTTCAACTGGCTAAACGGATGTAAAGAAAGAGTTTTGCGAATAACCGATAACTCTTTAACCGATTTTATATAGCAACGAAGCAGTTTAGATTAGAGAATTTTGCAAATAAAATGGCAAAATAATGGCCTTATTTATATTATAACCTAAACCTTTTACAATTTTCACAAAATTCAGATAAATACGTTTTTATATAATTATTACAATTAATGTAAACAGTCTATAATCAATAATTTATTTTTTCTACTCTCACCATTAAAACGCCCTTTTTCGTACATGTTTTCATGACACTAAGTGACCTTTTAAATACACATTGACAATTTGTGGCTTTATGGCGCTTTAGTCACGGGCTGAATTTAGTTTTAAGTTAGTTGACAGTTGTCAAATGTCATATATATAAATTAAAAGGTCAGTACAATGTTCATATAAACTTTTCAAATATTGGCGTTAAGAAACTATTTAATACTTTTGTATTTTTGTATACAATCGTTAAAATAAAGTGCCTTTCTTGTAAAATAATACTAAATGTGATTATTTTATTATCTCAATACAAAAATACAAAAGTATTTAATAGTTTCTTATCGCCAATATTTGAAAAGTTTATATGAACATTGTACTGACCTTTTAATTTCGCCGGCAGTAAACTATAACTTAAATTCGGGCACGGACTCTACTGTAAAGTGCTCATAAAACATTTTCTTTATTTTCACTGTGAAAAACTGTCAATTTTCAAGAAGTACATTTCGATTTATAACCTTTATAATTGTGTTTATAAAATAAAAAAATGTGACATTTCACGGTGACACACAGTTTCCCCTATTGTTTCATAGATGGCGCTCTATACAAATTTTTGATTTAAATCATTTTAATAATAAGTATTTGTCGTAAAAAAGTATAGTATGCACCTCGTTTATAAACTTTTCTATTCACTCATTAATTTAAGTACTCGCTCGCAAGCTCGCTCGTGCCTAAATTAGATTCGTGTATACAATGACGTTTATCAAACTTGATACATAATATACTATTATCTACTCCTTTAACGAGCTGTGACTTTATGGAGTTTTAGTCACGGGCTGAAGTTAGTGATAGATGCTTTTGGGCATTTTAGTCACGGGCTTTATTTTAAATTAGAGACAAGTGAGGTGAATTCCGTTGACATTTGATAGATGTCAAATATTTAACAAATAAAAATGGCTTTAAATTATTCTTCGAGTTCGTCGTAGATAAAGTATAGTATGCAACTCGTTTTATAAACTTCTCTAGACACTTTTTTATTAAACACTCGCTTGCAAGCTTCGCTTGTGCCTAATAAAACTCTGAACTAAAATGGCATTTATAAAACTTGATACATAATATAATATTTTCTACTACCACCTTTAAAACGCCCATTATCGTACATGTTTCCATGAAACTAAGTGACCATTTAAATACACATTGACAAGTTGCGACTTTATGGCGCTTTACTCACGGACTGAAGTTAGCAACAGGTTTTTAGTCACGGGCTAAAGTTAGTTTTAAGTTAGTTGACGGTTGTCAAATGTCATACAATCGTTAAAATAAAGTGCCTGTATTGGAAAATAATACTAAATGTGAAACTTATTTTATTATACAAAAGTATTAAATAGTTTCTTGACACCAATATTTGAAAAAATTATATATAATCATATATGAACGTTTGCACTGACCTTTTGATTTCGCCGTGGTAGTGCAGTTAACTAGATTTAACTCATAAAGCATTAAAAACTTGCGTACAGTGCCCAGTAAACACTATCTACTCCTTTTACTTTGAAAAACTGCTTCTTTATATCGATTGTTAGCATATTTTCAAGGGATACATTTTGATTTACACAGAAAAATTTTAGATTTTAACGCCGGTAGATTCTCATATTTTCTCAACATAAACATATTTTGAAGTTATTTTAATATTTTAAAGTACCAATTATTGTTAAGTTTAATTAAAATAATAATGGGCAATTTTAATGCTGAAAATTACGTCAAAAATGTTTATTGGGATGGTTACTTTATTTTCGTATGGATGTTGCTTTATACAAATAATTAATTTAAAGAATTTTTTAGATAATATTAAGTATTTGTCGTAGAA